AGCCTGCCTGCCCCTGCTGTCCTTGTGTCTGTCCCTGGCTCTGAACCTGTCCTGCACCAGCATTCTGTCCGGGGTTCTGTCCAGCTCCTCTGCCTCTGCCTCGGCGTCCTCGTCCGCGCCAGCCTCCCCTATTTCCCTGGCCAGACGATGATGATGCAGCTGGGTTCTGTCCCTCACTGGCTCTCGTATGTTGTGCATACTTGAGCGTCACTTCGACCCGCTCAGCCTCCACCATGAAATCCTGCAATGACCTGGGCGATTTGAGCAACAATAATTCTGCCACTCTAGGCATCAGACCGGAAGAGAATTGGTCCTTTGCCCATGCCTCGTCGAATCGTGGTAGATGGCCAAGCAGCCGGCTGAACCTGGCTGCATACACACGCACACTCTCGCCTTTCTGTTGCTTGATAGCACGCAACTCAGCACGTGCGGTCATCTCCTTGGTGCGGTGTCCGAATCTTGCCCGCAATGCCTCCGCCAGCTCGTTCCAGGTGCGAGGCTCTCGTCCTGTAGTACGAATGGTGTTGATCCACCACTCGCGAGCAGCCTCCTGCAGAAAAGTGAGAGCGTATCCCACTTTCTGTTCTTCCGGTGCAGCAACGGTCCGGAAATACGCTGACACCGTGTAGATCCAGCTCTCCACATCCTCACTGGTCTTGCCACAGAAAACTGGCGGCTCCCTGGGCTTCATCGTCACATGGAAAACTGGTCCGGATGCACCTGCTACATTCTGTCCAGCGGTTCCTGCACTGAAACTGACTGGCACTGCAGACACTGGTGGTACTGAAACTGGAACATTTCCTGGTAATTGGCTGCCCTGTCCCTGCAATCCTGGCTGTACTGATTGAGCAGCCAAACTTGACCCTGATGGTCGGATACTGGACTCTCCTACAAACACTGGTACTGCCACAGGATTCTGAACTGGCACTTCTCGATCCACAAGTGCTGAAGGAAACTGAAAGTCATCAGGCCGGTTCGGATCAGCTGGAGGTACTGGAATAGCAGAATGGGGCGGTGCAGACTCAACAACAGCATCAGGTAAATACGAACCCTCATTCTGATAGAGAGGCTCATCCCAGGCTGCCTTATAGTCAGACAGCTCTCGCTGTACCTTTTTCCTTTGCTCCCGCTCCACACTCAAATCCAGTCGCAAGGACTCCAGCTGCTCGCTCAAGGACAGAATCAGCTCATCTGTCCTGGTGGTCATCTGTGAACCTTGGGCCTGCTGTTGTTGCCTCAAAGCTCCCAGTTCCTCCTGCATCCTCAAGGACCTCTGGTCTTCATATGCCTTTTGTTGCTGTAGCCTCGTTCGGAGGTCCTCAATTCTGCCAGATGTCGTGGCCTGCTCTTCAACTCGACGTTGTTGCAATGCTTGCACATTTGCAGATTGTGCAGCATGAGCTTCGCGTAGTTCTTGCCGTAACCGAGCTGTTTCTTCCTGTTGCTCCCTCAAACGAGTCTTGAGCAGATGACGCTCTTGGACGGCTACTTGCATCTCCTGCGAAGTGTCTTTTGCCAGATGAGACACTTGCTCTGCAGTCAATGCAGTGGACGCTTGGTAGTACTTGGTCAGCGCCTCTTCCACCGCTTTGCGCATACTCGCGGTCTCCGTAACCGCTTGCTGGGCAACTTGGAGAGCTGCCCCTGCATGCCCAGCTGCCGATTGTGCAGTTTCTTGGGTCCGCTGCAAAGTGCTCATAGCTTCGCCTTCCAACGTCAATCGGCTTCGTGGTGGTGTTGGGCTCCGCCGCTTCATCGCCGGTGCTTTTGTAGGGATCCGCGATGGAGCTGCACTGGCAGCTGTAGTTCTCCGCGTAGGGGTTGATGGTCTTCGGCTTGGTACCCCAGACCCTGCAGCACTGGATTCAGCTTCCGGATCCAATCGCGGCATGGGAATGGCCGGCGATTGACTCGATTCGGTCATGGGCGCATCCTCAGGCCCATGCACACTTCCGGATTCACTGCCATTCAGCTCCATGCCAATCCGGCCCTCTTGAGACATCTCAGACTATGATGAGCAGCAGAGCTCCCAGCGATTGCCCCACCAACACTTGCGCTCAGCGTAATGGAGGGTGCCCCACACTTCCGCACCCACAGCACAGCAAAAACTCACGTCCGGGTGCAGCGATGGCGATGTCGTCGATCGATCCAAACTTGCCAACCTCCAATCCTCGAATCTGCTTCCCGCGCGCTTCCTGCCAACGTGGTTGTCGCCCCGGCTTGTGCCTCGGCAAGGCTGCTCCGCTGGCCTTGCCTCCGACGCCCAATCGTCGTAGCCAGCGCTCCGAAACCAATTTGTCGGCGCGGTCCCCCCTTGGCCGCGTCCAGGTACCCTGGCCCGCGCTGTAGGGCCTCTCCGTTGGAAGCGTGATCGTCCTCGGCCGGACGGCATGTCCCGGGCTCTCTCTGGCCCGTGGGTGACGGCCGCTCTGTGCGGTCCCGTCCGAGGCGCGCGGCTGCTGCGCTCGAGGAGGCAGGGAGGCAGGCGTTCCAGAAAGATCGAACTACAATCGGCGTGGCCGCGCACGCTCTTACAACCCGCGGCACACAATTGGCCGCGCACGCTCTTACATTCCATTAATGTCCATTAAACTCATTAATCCCATTATCTCCGGCGGCCGGGGGCTCCGCCCCCGGACCCCCCCTGTCTTGCGAGCACCCTTCGGGGGCTACGCACGGCCTCGCTTCGCTCGGCCGAGCTTGCCCCCTACGGGACCTCGCAAGACACAGTCCCACGAGCAGTTCGCCAAACAAAGTGCACGAAATTACCACACCACCCCTCCTACTCCCATATCCTTATAAGTATAATGGTTACTGTAGGACAAGGAATATACGACCTTGGGCAGGGCGTCCCCCACACCAAGGGCCAGTAGTAGGGCGTCCCCCACATCAGGCCGGTGCGCGTAACAGCCAGGGGGGCGGGTGTCAGACGCTTGGAATTAGAGGACAATGGGTCGATCGTCGGTGAACGGTGGACGGTGATAATGTGCCTGGACGCGCACTTGTCTTGTCTTGTCTTGTCATGATGTGACTGCGATGGACCCGCGATCAGGCATTGCGCATGCGATATGTGCGCACGCATGCTGTGAATCCATGTAGCCGTTCTGGCCCACTCTCTGGCCTCCCGCGAGCCAGCGAACCACCGCATCGCTGCGCCGCCACCTCTCGCCGACAGCAGGCCCCGGGGATCGATCCCCGTCGAGCATTGGGTTCACCGCGCGACCACAGGAGCGACTGCCCCGGATACGCCCACCGTCCAAGGTGGAGAGGGCCGGCTGACCTCTAACAACCGAGCTGCAGGGCAGGGCGACCCCAACGCCTCCGGAAACCAGCGGCTGCCGACGGGGCCGCAACACCTGTGGTGAGTCACATGTAGCAGGAATCCCTAATTCCTGTCCCCTTTGCTGAGTCACATGTAGCGGGAATCCCTGATTCCTGCCCCTGTGCTTAGTCACATGTGGTTGCCCCATCTACCTTTGGCACAAGACGCGGGACATGGGGCTTTGGTGGTTCCGGGATGTGGCACTGCCACGGTGGCAGTCACCCACAGCCACCCTTGCAAGTGCCATGTAACGGGTCCCCACTAACTGTGGGTGCACAAGTTGCCAGGGTTACGTAAGACGAAGGAGTGCCAAACTTAGCAATGAGTTCCTATCGGACTGCGGCCCACAGCAAGCGCACCACAGAGGCATGCAGAAGAAGGCAAAAACTCATATATGCAGGTCAGCAGGGGGGGCGAAGGCACGGGCCCATAGCTTGCAGTAGAACCCATGCTTCAGACTATCATTCATAGATGCTATGGAGGAAGGGATGGCCATGGACATTAAATGGCGGGGAGGTCGGTGAGGGCGACTGGGTTCGCAACGACGATCACGAGAGGGAGATGGAAACTAGGTATTCACACAAGACTTTTGGCGCGTTTGCTTGTGAGACGGGCAAGACCCAGGCGCTGAGATCTGCGCATGCCAACGGAGTTAGGGATATTGTGTTTGGCAATTGTGTACATTCGCACAAAGGCAGCGATCGGTACAGGGAGGTTGCGCTTGGCAACGCGTTGCTACACCCTACCCTACAAGATTTGACCTCCATCGAGCTCCCTCTGGTTGGCGACGAGCTGAATTTTCGAAATGCTCCACTATCAGCGCCCTTGCCATCGATGGCATCGACGATGAGCAACTGAACTCAAGGTGTGGCAAGCGTTGCCTAGTATGGGCACACCAACGTGGCAAGCAACAACAGCCTACAAGAACGCTGGGCATGGGCGTTGTCCTGCGCTTCCTGAGGGCATGGACGAACTGCGCACAAGGCATAGGCAGTGCCTCCTATATGTAGGGAATCGGACATTGTGATGGCTGACGTGGTTGAATGATGGGTCAGTGGCAGTCAGAAGTCCCGCCGGGACAACTCGGTTCCCTACTCGCACTCGTAGGGGCACGCATGAGACCGCCCTCCGGTTGACAGGTGGATACCTTGGGGCTTCGCCCCTCGCTGGGAATGTGGCCTCGTCCCCCTCGAGCTGCGTGTCCGCCTGTCAACCGGAGGGCGGTCTCATGCGTCCCCCCTGCGAGTGCGAGTAGGGAACCTCACACGTTTCACACCGGAAATCACTGACCCACTGACCCACGTTGGCCATGTCAGCGGAAGAAGAAGGGACCCTCACGGCAGACACAGGGACTAGCATATTCTCCAGCCTCTGCGCCCTTCCACACAACCCACGGCATTCTCGTCCCCGCCGCTGCCTCCAGCGACCTTGTTCACACCCAGATTCACGCCAACCCGCATGACGCCCACTGCGCGGCACAGGCAGCATGCACCCACTCAGATGTCGCTATTAGCTCACACCTTACTAATCCCCCGGTCGCTAAAGGGCCCCGGATGGTCACGGGGCATTAATATTACCACCGCCGCTGCTCGCCCCAATTTTCGCACTGCACAGGAGCGGCGGCCGAGGCGAAGGGCCCGCGAGCGGCCCAAGAGGGCCGGAGCCGCCGCGAACACACATGCTGCCCCGGTGGGAAGCAGCCCTGCTGATCCTGATCGCAGCAGTCCACCTTGGGGTTGTGAGGGCAGCCGTGCTGCCAGGTAGCATCCGCGCGCCGCGGGGACGGGGGCCTGAAGCCGCGGTGGCGATCGAGTACCTCCTCTGCCCACCGATCCCGCCAAAATCGACCAATGTTGGGGCTCATGAACTTCCTGCAATGAGAGCTCCCAAGGGGGTTGTTTGGGAATGCAACGCTTGAAGACATGTTCGGGTTGTTATTCTGGAACCCGTGAGGCCTACAGCCGAGTTGGCGTTCGGATATCCCCCTGCCCGCCACTCCCGCCAAAATCAGCCCATGTTGGGGCTTTCATGGATTGCCAGCAATGAGAGCGCCCATTCCTTTTGTTTAAAACGCAGAGTTGCAAAAGATGTTCCGGTTGCTCTTCTGAAGCCCGTTGGGGGGCCAGCTACCCGCCGTCAGCTTCCGGCCGTCAGGCCGGGAAAGCTATAACTGCCGCCAGCTTCCCCACGCGGCGCTCAACGGGTGCCTTTCCCGCTTTGGGGCATTATGAGTGATGAGTAATTTGTTGTTCGGGTTGCGTGGGGCGATGGGACCTGGCTGTCCTGACTGGGGCACTCGCTTGGTTGGCAACGACAGGCCGGGGCCTGCTTCAAGCCCAGGCCGGCGAGATTCGGATCGTGTCGGCGAACGCGAGCGGCGTGGTGGGCGCCTTTGACAACGTGACGACCGGCGGGAGGATAGTGTTGGACGTGGAGAGGGTCGCAATCAGCGGCGTGCTGACGATCGCCGCGCCCAACGTTTCGGTGGTCGGCAACTCGTCAAGGGGGAACGGGACGGTGATTGTCTGCGTCAGCGGCGGCGCCGGCATCGAAATCAGGTGCGTTGGACACAAATCTGGTGGCAGCATGTGCCAAACGGCATTCGTCAGTGGCTTTGAAAGAATGAGAGCTTCATTTGGAAACATTTGCCACTGCTGAGTGGGCTTTTCCATGCACTTTCTCCCCAAACCATGACGGGCGATTGTGCCTCGGCTGGGTTTCACTGCCCCCCAGAAGGAGCACTTCAAGTCCTGGGCCACTCCACTCTCAGTTTAGAAGAGCCAAGCTTGTGGACACACTCTGGGGTCCTGCAGGACACGTGCAAGCGCCACGTAGATCTTGTCCTGTCCTGTGGTCACTGCTGGGGGTTGAATGGCGCATTCCGATGCCAGCCCTGGTGCCTCCTCCAAAGAGTATCAGTCTCCTTGCATGCCGTCATTTGCAAAGCGGCTCACAGCCATGTTTCCTCTTTCAGGGCCACAGGTGCCGTTCTTAGCAACTTCTCAATCCAGAACTGCACCAGCACCGCCATCAGGGTAGTGAAACCCGCTGGGAATGGCACCACCCAGCTTGACGCGACGATCAGGGACGTCCGCTTCTTCAACAACGATGACAGGAACAGCAGCGGGTTTGGGCAAAGCGGCGGGGGCGGCCTGGGGGTGGTGGGCGCCAATGTGACGGTCGAAGACTGCATCTTCGCGAACAATGGACGAAACATAGGGGGAGGAATATCTGCGTTCGATTCGAACCTCACCGTTCTTCGCAGCCAATTTGTGGAAAACAGTGCCAGGCTGACAGGCGGGGCCATCAGCATCGAGTCAAGCCAAGCAGCACAGCAGTTGGTGGTGGAGGGTTGCAATTTCACAAGAAATAGGGACCCAGAGAGCCAGGGCCCCCTCCCCGGGGGCGTGAGCGTGTTCTCACCTGACTCCAGGCCCCTTGAGGTTTCCAACTTCATAGTCTTCAGCGGACCTGGCAAGTCGGGTGGTGGGGCAATTTTCGCGGAGCGGCTGCAATCTGTGCAGATCAGTGACTCGAAATTTGTTTCAAATTTTGCATCCCCAGCTGGCGGGGCCCTCACGCTGCTGGACAACAACCAGGTGAATGTCTCCAAGTGCGCATTCGAGAACAATGAAGCAAGGGAAGGTGCGCAGGATACACAGGGGCTCGCCCAGGGCGGGGCAATCTACCTGGCGGCCCCACAGGATGATGGTGTGAGCCTTTTCCTGAACAACGCGTTTGTGAACAATACTGCGGGCTACGGCGGGGCCCTGCACACGATCACAGCAGCAAAAGCTGCCCTGAGAGTGGAGGTTTGCAACCTGACAGGAAATGTCGCGTGGCTGGGCGGGGGGGCAGGTGTGTTCAGAAACACCGAGAGCATGGAGTTTGTCCAGTTGAATGTTACTGCGAACAGGGCCAAGGTGGGCGGAGGATTGATCCTGGCAAATGGGGCAGGTGTCTTCGCTGTTACAAACATGACCTTCACTAATAATTTGGCGCTTGATGGAGGTGCCCTGTTGCTGGTGGGTTCAGGTGAGCTGGCATCCCCTATATGTGAAAGGGCACTGTTTTGCCATGCTTCAACAAGGTGAAGGCATGATACATTGGCAATGCGTGTGTTCAATTTCTATTCTTGACTAGGAACCCCAGCTTAGACCTATATACATAAATGCAAGTTCTACGCCTGTTCAGTCTCTGGAATATCTGTCCAGAAAATGATGAGCACAGTGGCCATGCATGAAGAGAGCATCATCACTGTGCTGGTTGTACTAGAGCAGTGCATCCATTGCCTTCTGACAGCCTTGCATGAATGTGCACACTGGATGCGCTAATGGGAAAAACCGGCAAGGGGAGCCCTGGCCCACAGCAGAGGGAAGACTTAATATTGTAATGAGGGAGTCCCAGGGTCCAAGATCGCAAGGGCTCTAGAGAAGCCCTGGAGCTGCGGCAAGATCGTCAGATGAAACCATCAGTTTTGACACCTGCCACCACCACTGCCATGCACTTCACAGCCGCACGCTGGATGCTTTGGTCCACTGTAGTTTTGGTTCACTTTACCCTGAACTGAGGAGTTAAGGAAGATGCACACTGTGCGTTTGATGTGCCAGAGCGACTCGTGTCCCCTCTGACACTGCCTCCCCTTCATTGCAGGCCAGGCAAACTTCCAGAGGTCCCTCTTTTCCCAAAACAAGGCAAGGGGAAATGGCGGTGCTGTTGCTGCTGTGCAGTCCCTGGCCAGTGGCACAGTGAGTTTCCTCAATGCTGAATTCGTTTCAAATCTGGCCAAATTCGGCGGGGCCATCCATGTCGACAGCACTGCCAGATTCAGGCTCAATGGGGCAACCGACGACCAGACGACCTTTGTCAACAACACAGCCCTTGGTGGGGGTGCCATCTATGTGCAGCTTCGGCACCCTGTTGGGAGCAGTTTTGCCTTATCTCGAGGAGAATTTCGAAGCAATCGTGCATTAACCTCACCTGAGGATGTTGGATTTCTGGAGGTGAAGGTCCCAAGGCGGGACTCGGACCCTGACGAACCGGCTGAGGACGTATCTGACCTGTTGGGCAGCATTGACCCTGAGGCGGACAACCCCTGCACCCCTGGCGGTGGTGGCGCAATTTGTTTGGCGCTGACCCGCATAGCTGAGAGAGTGACCATCACTGTTGACATTGAGGAGTCCAACTTCATTGAGAACAGTGCCTCCACCGGAGGTGGGGCTTCGCTGAATCCCCTCTTGGGGTATCTGTCACTGTTCCAAAACTGTTGGGAAGCAAATGTTAGCAAACTGGCCCAGAGCTGAACTGCTTTTGTGCTGTGATCAATGCACTACGCTCTCTTATGTGTCCAATGGTTGTGCTTTGTCCAGTCCATGACGAATGCAACAGCCATGATTTACGTTCCAAGGTTTGTTGTAACTTATATCCCACATGTTTTTTTTTCGGCAGTCTACTGGACATCCTCGGGTCTGCAGCATTTTGTTTTGCACTTCTACTGATGTGATTTGATTTTTGAGGGCGGCTGTATGGCCACAGGGGAAGAACTCTGTGGGGGACCAGTTTGTTAGCCCGCTTCTATCGTGCAGCACATTGTGGCAACATCATCCCTTGTGGTATCATCTCATTGTTATTGCTGTACTGCAGCAAAATTGAAAAGATGGATGCCTGATATGATTCGAGCATAGACACAGGATTAATGGCAGAAGTAGAGATCGGTGTGGATCTGTCCCGTTCGCCTGAATCCAGGCGACCACTAGTCTGATGATATTAATGGGACCTTCGTGTCTACTGCTTTTATTAGGACTGGCAATAAAGCCCGGTGCAACTCTGGTAGCATTGGTAGCAAAGCCAGCCTCTGTCGCAATTTAGGTGCAGTGTTCATTGGGACTACCCGGGAGGCCCAGTGGAGTGCTCCGAAGACTTGCGGCTCTGCACTTGGCGATTCTGTTACCTTCACTGCCGCACCCTGCAGGGAGCTGGGCATCCAAGACTTGCACTTCGAAAACAACACGGCAGAAAATGGAGGCAACAACTTGTTTGCCACTGATCCAGATGATGTCTGGAGTGCAGAGAAGGTGGGATCCTCAACAAACAATGTGTGGCTCCAAGCCCAACATCGTTTGGTGGGTGAGAGGGGCAGTGCTTGGCAATGCTTCCAACAAATGGAGTCAAACAAGGCTCCCCATCGGAACTTGCCAACATAGAAGAAAATGGCGCAAATTTTTTCCAAGGCATTCCCCTGTTTTTCTTTCTGGCAGCGCTGTAGACACCTGCTAACTTGCTGCTTTGTGTTGGCAGGGCCGCCTGAGCAAGTTTTCTCAACTCTCGGCCAGTGCCACTGGCCAGAACAGCACATCAGGGGAGAACCTGATGGGTTCTGTTGCATCAGCAGTGACCAGGCTGGACGTCTCTTCAGCCACCCTGGAGGATGCGTACCTTGTGAGGGACCACCTTGCGGGCATCCCCCTGCCCACTGTCAATGTCACACTGCGGGATGCCTTCGACCAGGTCATCTTAGGGGGCATCACAGACTCCGGTGGGTGCCTCCTGCATTATGATGCATGAGTCTTGTGGGGTGGAAGTTCTGTGCTGACCAATGCGTGTTGTACATTCAGCATCTGTGGTTGTTGTTGGCATTGCTGCAATTTGTGTTTTGGCGTGGGCATGAACTGAGCTGATATTCCTTGCATTCTGCATGGAGCAACTTTGGGTCTGCCTTGCGCAGTGTCAAGGAGCCGCCAATTTATTAGATAGAACAATTTGTGTGACACATACGGCCCTTAATTTTGTCTGCACAATACTCATGGACACACTCCAAGGACTGGCATACTTTATGTTCATGCATTGAACAACTGGACTCCATGGGTCTGTACAACAACAAAGTACTCATTGTGCTGCTGATTGACAGCTTGTTCAACAGCTTGGCCTGATAGACATGTACGCAAGCGGGCAGTTGCTTGGAGTGGGGCAAGCCAAGAGTGCATTCTGAGTTGCAAATCAGCTCAGAAACTGCAGTATGACAGCCACACTGCCAATCATCTTCCTCGAAGTTTGCCTGATGTGCGATTTCAGTTGAGGCAGAATTGACACATGTGGGTGCCTGCTCCTGTTATTCTTTCTGCCGCAACGCTGGATTTCAATGCTCACCGAGAGGGAACTGTGCAGGGCATTCCCTCACTGTAGAAATTGCCGATGGACCCATATTTGCGTCATCGTCTGCATTGTGGAAGAGGGTCTCACAAAGTCCAGCTCATGTTGGAGGTGCTCATGGTGTGGCACACTTGAAGTACTGTGCTAATGCAGAGTCCCACAGTGCTGATATTTGATAGCACTGCCATGCCATGCTGTTGTGATATGCAGCTTGTGTGGTTTCCCTCAGCAAAGTTTTTTGCTGCTGGCTGAGATGATCGGTTGGGCGAATGCTCTAGTAGCACGGACGTACTGCATGACTCTCTGAAGACCAGACAATGTGTGGAATTATTGAGCTGCGGTTCCATGCTAGGAAACACACTTTTGGTGTTGGGCCTTTTGCTGTTGAGCATGGATTCTTTGCGGCAGGGCTTGTGGTGACCGTGACAGGAGACTGCAAGGATGGTGGGGACTGCGTGACTGGCCAACGCACTGTGACGGCCAGAGATGGCATTGCCAGCTTCGATGGCATCAACATAGTCGCCCAGCCTGGCGACTACTCACTCAGCTTCAGTGCCATTGGGGTGCCGCCCGTGGTGGCAAACTTCACCATCCGGGATTGCAGACCCGGTGAAGTGAACAGCACCACAGGCGGCCTCAATGTGTGCCAGAATTGTAGTGCTGGCGAGTACAGCTTCATCCCTCAGGTGAAGTGCAGGAACATGAGCACGTAGTGTTTATGGAATTATTGTGGCCATCGCCTTGCTGGTGGAAAGCTTGTTTAGCAAAGAGAGTGTAGGTACAACTTTCTCCTAAGCAACAACTAATGCAAGAACTCTTCCTTGCGATGAATGATGATGTGCAGGTCAAGGAGGGGACTTTATGTTGGAGTTCTTTCCTCACACTGCTTTTAGTTGTGCGAATTTAGGGTCTTTAGGAGTTGAATTGTAGGGTCTCACCAACTACCGCAGTGCTTGTGACTTTCATCAAAGACTATGATTCCAGACAGGAGAGCACAGCATAACATGGCTGCCTAGCGAGGGAGCAGCAGGAAGGTGCATCCACACGGCCTCATTGGATTTGGAACAGAAAAACGAAACAACGTGCATGGGCCTTGCTGGTGCAAGATCAGCACTCATCTTGCTTGTGCAAATTGTACCCAACTGGATCTGCCTTTTCGCAGGTGGATTGCAGGAAATGCGAGTCGCGGGCGATTTGCAGCGGCATGGCAGCATTGGTGCCCAATGACGGCTACTGGCACTCCAGCCCCTTTTCCATACAGCTCCACCAGTGCCTGTTTGAGGATGCGTGCAAATTTGAGATCCTCACTCCTGATGGCACTGGAAACACTACGACGAGGAGAGAGATTTTGACTGAATTCTATTCCAATTTGGAGCTGAAGGAAGTCGAAGCAGCCAGAGAGGAGATGTACAACAATGCAGAGTACCAGCAATGCAGACAGGCAAGTGTCAGCATTGCTGTACCATTGCCAGTCAGGCAGCATCCTTTGAGCAGCATGAAACAAGCCAAACAAAGTACTAAGCACATATATCAGTTCTAATACGGGTACACTTAGTAAGCAGTACGCAAGAGAGCCGTGTGCTGAGTCTTGTGCTGAGTGTGCCCACAACAATGCTATTCATGCTTTGCTCATTCAGCATCGGCTGATATTGTCTTACCCGTGCAAGAATGCCGTGCAGCGGACACTGATACATTTCTTATATTGGCTAGCTTGTAGTGAGCAAGTCCTTCATTCGTTTGTCTAAACAGGGTGAAGAATAGAATGTCACTGGTAAAGATCGTGTTCATGAGAAAGAGTGTATTCATGATTTCAGAGCTTGAAACTTGAAGTACCTGAAAACTGAAGTGTTCTGTCCTGATCGGTGTGTGTAAGAACATTGCCGGATGTTAGTTGATGTTGGATTGTGCTAATTCTCAGCGCTTGTTGGGTATTCCTGCTGGATTGTCCAAGGAAGCCCATCACTGCTTGCGCGGCACATCCCTTGAGGTTCATGTGGGCAGGGAATCGCTTTCCATGGACACCTCACCCCAGTACAAACATGCTTCCTCTGAATACAAACTGTCCTAGAACCATTGTGCCATCACATGTGTACAGGACTGGACAGTGACTGAGTGATCGTTCGTCATAATCGCATGTTGACAAGATGTCCTTGGCCCCCTTCCCACCCCACCCCACTGGACACCCCCAACCTTCTTTGGGATGGCTTTACTTGTGGGCACCAGATGAACAGCACTGACCACGCCACGTTGACACAACATGAAGCTCCAGTGTGTGAGCGCATTGATCTGTCCCAGGGCTTCCCGCCTATATCTCCCTTGAATGTTGGGAGGGAAAGGAGGGGTGTGGCCTCGATTGCATGTTATTCGCTGTTCTTATCCCCAACCATCCGCTCTGCCCAACCACACCAGCAGCACCAAGATTGCGATGTTTTCTTTTAAATATATTTCTGTTTTCAATACTGTGATTCCTGCAACACCAAACAGGCAAACAGTGGAAGCTTTCAACTGGCAAGTGTCAGTGCAATACTCAGATTTTTGCTGTGCAGCTGGTCGATACAACTGTGCAGCCATGCACGGAGGGCAAAGCAAGATTACAATATCATGGGAGGTTATTCCACAAGTATCTGGGGTCGCATGATGCCACGTGGGGAATATCTCTGGGTGTGACGCCGTAGATTGGGGGTTTAGGGGAATCTGTGTGTGACAGGGGAAGGCATCACGCGACCAAATATAGCACTGGATATTCAGTGATCCTGTCCACCCTGTCCACACATTCACGGCAATACATAATGTCCCATCTATCCACACATTTGTTCATAATGTCACATCATGTCATCACACCACACAGAACATCTGAGCACATCATCACACCGGATTGACGATGGCATAGCTGTGCGTTGCACTGCTATGGTGTTTGCTGATCATGCCTCCAGGCCTCAAGTGGATTGCAGGGCTTTCACTGGGAGTCTGGATTTCATCTGGCTGCTATCGAAATTTCACACAACACAGAGCATCAACCTGCCCTGTCTACAGAACTTGAAGCCATGGATTATTAAAAATGCAGTTGATCAGGTGGTTCCTCCAGTAGGGCTACTGCAGATTTCCTCCATACGAATTGGGCAGTTTGGGTCCATGGTTGAATGGAACACGATCAAGTATTATCTGGCTGCTGCGGTGCCCCCTGTCGCCTCTCCAGATGCAGGGGCCTTGCATTATCCTGTTCTTTGGCAACAACCAGTGGGAGCGCGCACGCTCGCTGAATGCAAGATCAATGTGGCCTGCATAGGCCCCGGAAAGAGGGGTGTATAGAATTCGCCCTTTTGACTCTTTGGCATCCTTGTTGTGACAGGGGTACCAAGGTGTCCTGTGCGCCTCCTGTGAGTCTGGATATGGCCATCTTCCTGGAGGGGAGTGCTCAAAGTGCGATGAAAATCGGAAGGTGACTGTGGTCTATATTTTGCTCATCTTCCTGTGGAGTCTGGTCCTGCTGGCACTGGCTGTTCGGAGTGCCCTGTCGAGCATCAAGAACATTGCTGAAGCCCACGAGTGGAGCAGGGTATCATTCAAGAAGAGACCTGCAGGTGCCGTCTTGGAACAGTGGTGTGCCATGTCGACAGTTTGCATTTTGTCTGATTGTTTGGTGGTCGACATGTTGCACGATTCAGTTGACAGATCGAATCTACTGCTGCTTCATTCGTTGGTTTATGGCCAAGAGCACAGTCTGACTGCCTTACTCACAGGCTGCACAATATGTGCCCTGCTATTCACATCCCAGTGGATCAAATGCCACTACCAGCGGACTTCCCCAACTACTTGTACTGTTGATGGTGGCAACTTAGACCAGACAGACAAGTCATGGGGAATATGCAGCCCAAGCTGTGTTTACCATGCATGGGTTACAGGGACTGATGGTTGTCAGTTGATACCTTGGTTACCCCTGGGTGCATTGCCAATTGCAAAAATGGCCAGGACTAAACAAGGTGACTGAATCCCCTATTGGCACATCTGCACGTATGCCTTCAGAACTTGGCGAGGCTATCTTTCAGCTGCACATGTACAGCTGCCGTCTCTACACATTGCGCTTGCCACATGTGTCAAGGCTGCACTTTGTTCAACACTGAGCCCCTCTTTTGACCTGTGCTACAGTGAATGTGAACAGCAATGGAGCTGGCTGCAAAGACCCCTCGACAATGCCATGCCCTGAAGCCATGGATGCCCTTTCCAATGGGGGCTCCAAATCGGAGATAGCACCAGAGGTGAGCTGCCCTTGCCACCACCTTGTCACTGTCCTCACCCATCCACAGGATTACTTTCGTGTTGGCATTGTGCACTTTGCATTTGAGACAATCTGTCCATGTGTCTGTGCCCCTCATCGTCGTGAACATCGAGGTACTGCACTTTGTCGATTCTTCACAATGGCAATCAAAAGATGTACGTTCGCGTTTTTGCAGGGATGTCAACTTACCCTGTCAAAAACACCTCCTCGGTCATATGTCTCATTGTTTCTAGCAGGGAAGCTCCTCGGAACGCAACTGTGCAGACCCCACAAAAGAGTCAGGCAAGCCCAGACGATCGATTGTGAGCAGCATCACCGCCCAGCGACCGGCCTTGCCTGCAGGGCTCTCAGAGCCCGCACCTGGCAGCCAACAAGTGTCGATCGACCACATCACAGCTGCGGAGAAGATATCTGAGACCCTGAAGGTCGGTGCAGAACCTTGGCTCATGGATGGCAGTGTCCCAGAGCCTGCTGTCTTGCGGGCTTCCTGTGCATGGTGCTGGCATGTTGTGACAATAAAATGCATGGACTTTTGGACAGTCGTTGTTTTTCTTGCAATGTGAGAGACGCCTGAAAATGCTTTTGTTGGGAATGTGACGTCAAGGGTTTGAGTTCTGGCATTTTGGGGTTTGCAGTATTGCACTTGCTGTTGCTTCTTGGTGATGATATGAACCCTGGCGAAGTGTGCCTAACTGGAGCTCCGTCTGAACATTAGTGAGTGCTCTTGCTGGCCCTGTCGTGGCACCTTGACACCCATAGCCCCCATCGAGGTGCAGCAAATTGCCACAGAGAACAGAGATCCATTTGCTTTGCCCGCATTATTTTGTTGGCTACTGCGAAGCTCTTGTTCCTGTCTGAGAGAATGAGCAAGGCGTCCTGGCTGCAGATCGCCACGAACTTCCTCCAAGTGACCGGTGTCGCTGTCTCCATCAACGTGGACTGGACGGCAACGGTGAAGAAGCTGCTTGGCGTGTGGGGTACGCACTTTTTTCATTTTCACGTTGAACCCTGATGTGCATGTGACAACGTCCCAGCCTCACTCCAAGATACTGCAAGGGGGGTCTGCAGTCCTCTCCCCTTCCCCTTTCCCCTTTTCTGAAGAAGGCTGGCCTGCCTGATCCTCCCAGCCCCAGCTCCACAGCGCAGCAAATCACTTCCAAATAGTCTTCAAGGTGGCAATGGGCAAAGCCATCCACATGCATGATGCCCGTTGAAGTCCGTGTTTTGGTCCGGATGGTGAAGAGGATATCTGACCGGGGATCGAACTGGTATCTCTGGGTGGGGGTGCCCCACTGCTCTACCAAACCACCTGGACCAGGGGCAGGAAGAGGGCAGTCCAACCCCTTGAGTACCCTTCCTCCCAACAGTCCGAAGGCGTTGGTACACTATGCTGCTCCTCGGACCAGACGTGATGTGGAAAACTGATCAACTCACGATGCTGAGTCGCTGCGAAACGACCCTCGCAGAACGCTTGATAAAGCCAATTCATGTTTGCGGGAGCGTCGCCAAATGCACTGTGTTACAAACGCACACACTGTGTTGTTTGTACTGTGTTACAAACTGATGGATTTACGGAACAACACATAAGGACGCCAGCAATTTGGCGCCGTGGCCAATGTGTCCGATGGGGTGTTTCAAATATTTTCGATGTCTGTATGAATTTGCAGCTGTCTTCGCATTGCTTGAGCTGTGTTGTACCGCATCGTTCTCCTGCTACGGCAGCTTATGCTACAGACTTCAAGTCCTTCAGTGCACTTTGCATTTTAGATAACTTTTGGGAGTTCTAGGAACGTGCACGAGCGTGCTCCTACAAGTAAATCAATCCTATGCAAACGGGCTTCACATAGTTGTATAGGAAAGTTGTTCATGCACCTGTTGCTCGTGTTCAAGTTGCGTGAATTATCTGAAGTCGGGTACGACAATGCGACATACGCCGTGACGGGATCAGGTATTGGAGGGGCACACGTGTTGGCGCAGCCATTTAGGCTGCGACGCTGGGCACGGTTCTCAACGAAAGCAGCTGAAGTGGTGCAGCAAGGAAAATGCCAGCCGAACCAAAACGCAACAAAGGAAATGTAATAGCGCAGTGCACAGCACGGCAAGAAGGTCTGGACGAACTGCTGAATGCTCTGTGCACGCCTTCCTGCCGCAGACACCCTCGTGGCCTTCTCCAACAGCTCCTCCCTGTTCGCGATGGACTGCGCTCTGAGCGAGGACAGCGCTGTGGCCCGACCCATCCGGGGCACCATCTTCCGCGTCTTCTTTCCCTTCCTCCTCTTCGTGGTGGTCTCCGTTTTCTTCTTCCTCATGCACGTGCACAACCGCAGGAAGGGCATTGACGACCCCGGGTATTTGAGCAGCCGAATTACCATCAGCGCACTGGCCCTGGTGTTCTTCTCCTACCACAGGTAAACTCAGCCGGCGAACATGGCGCACAAGAAGAGGCTGCGTTTGCACGATGTAATCATGCTAAAATTATCCGGTTGATCGTCTGCGCTGCCAGGGCGCGAATTCAGCATCTTCGTACTGTGCAAACACTTTCAGGGATTCTGTTGAAGTTGCAGGCCTCTGTCTGTGGGCTGGATACTCTCTTTTCATGGATACGTTCCAGATGTCACCAATCCCGGTTGTCGAGAACGAGGGAGCGCTCCGCCATGTCAACTTCACTTGTTGACTTCACTTGTTCACTTGTTGGCTTGTTTGCTTGTAATGGCATGATGCCTTCGTGATGGGATCCCTGTCAGTTCACTGCGGGATTCGTTTGCTCCTGGCGTGCGGGGGCAACGCCGGGAATGGACACGGAAATTTGCCGCCACAACTGTCAAACACTTGGCGAAGTGCCACCACATACTTTGCAGCCACGTCGGCCGTCGTGCGCATGCCCAAGCCGCGGCCATCTTCATACAATCAATCATCTGGGCACATCATCACGCCGAACTTTGCTGCGATGCGGCGCAAGAATCTCACCCCTTTCTGCCAAGCGCTGACACGTAAATGAGATGCCCTGGAACTGCGAAAGCAAAATTTGTCTTTTGTACAAATTGTTAATTGTCAATTGTTGTTAAGTATTATTAATTTCCGCCCCTTGATGAGCTCCTCGTCCGCTGTTGTCCGCTCTTATCCACCCGCTGGTTTATCCGTTATTTCTTCTGATGCAGCATCACCGAGGAGTTGATGCGCACGCTGAACTGCGTCTCGCTGGACGACCCGACAAGCGAGGAGCCAGCGTACAGCGACTTCGCGGTGGCGCGGGGTCGCTTTTGGGCGGAGGACACCTCCGAGCAGTGCTTCGAGTCGCACCACGGCCTGCTGGCCTTCGCGCTGGGCGTGCCCGGCCTGGCCCTCTTCTCCCTGGGCGCCCCCGTGGTCCTCCTGACCCTCCTGCTGCGCAGCCGCGCCCAGGGCCGCCTCACGGACAACCAGTTCCTCAACTCCTACGGCTTCGTGTACCAGAACTACACGGAGAGCCACGTGTACTGGGAGGTCATCATCCTCGTGCGCAAGGCGCTCATAGGCGCCGTCGTCGTCTTCGGCTACGAGGCGGGGTCCAACTTGCAGGGGGTGATGGCGCTGGGCATACTCATCGTCGCCCTGGTCATGCACACCGTGTGCCTGCCGTACAAGTACGACGCCCTCAACCTGGTGGAGGGCCTCTCCCTGCTGGTCTCCATACTGACCTTCTACTCGGGCGTGGTGTTCAACGACGAGAACACCTCCACTGCTGCGCGGCACCTGTTCACGGGCGTGGTCCTCCTGGCCAACCTGGTGGTCGTCGGCTGCTTCCTGTTCATGCTGTTCCGGTATCTCGACGTCTTCGTGACGGCGCGGCTGTGGCGGGAGGGGATCCAGCCGCCGGGGAGCATGCCCTGGCGGCTGGCCCGATTTGCGGGCCACGTGCTGGGCAGGACGGTCCTGGTGCAGCGCGTGGGCGCCAGCCTGGCGTGGCTTGCCTGTGGGGGGGGAAGGAGGAAGCGGCAGCAGGCCGAGTTGCCAATGGCAAATCTGCCGTACCGAGTCTGACACATTTGCTGCGCTGGAAGGGAAGGGAAAGGAACTACAAAGTGCGGGAAGGTTCCTAGGAAGTCACCGCTTTCTCTATGAACCGCCCAAGAGACCAGTGTAGCAAAGTCCAAATGTCCCAAAACGAAACAGCACGCGCTGATGACCGCAGCCATGGATGTGGCCTGTTTGGGCACGCCGGTGCGGGGTCGATTTGCTGTACGTCTGCCCGGGGATGGTGGGGCCTTGGGGCGCCGTTGTTTTGTGTGGCCGCACAAGGACCAGAAAGAGAAACCCATGGGAGGGTTCTGGATCTGAGGGATGCTGGAGCAACCCCCACGTTTGGCACAGCAAGTTGCCCAAGCTTGTTCCCCCCCTGAGGGGGGCAGGATCGGTGGTGGCGGCAGACTTGGCGCGGAGACGGTGGCTGGGCGTGGGGTGGCGTCACCGCGTGGTTCAAGTGTGCAACTCAGAGCGGCAGAGGCGCCTGGGGTCGGAACCGTGTGTTCGACAGGTCTATGGGGCTGTACTATGTGGTGAAAGGGGGTACAGGTTTCATTAGACATGCTGTATCTGTCATTGCAACTACGGTCTGTATTCGCAGGGTCGCTGGGATGGGATTCGTTGCGATGTGCGGCGATCTGTTAGGTGGGAATAAGTCCAAACTAGACACGCAGGGCGCCATGTAGCTTAGAATTGCGGAAAACGATGCAATCAAGTGACGACACATTGTCCAGGACTCGAGCCTTGGCAATTTGCCCCTTTGCGCTGCGCGGCTGAGGGGGCGTTGTCCGTTTAATAACGGAACGCTTGCTGCACCTGCGCGGACTGTGAAACATCCGGACGATACACGGATGTGGAACAGATTGCCGCATCAGTAACCATGTGGGTGGGGAACGTGGAGAACACATTAGCCCCTCTTTCGTTTCCGTCAGGATCCCTTCTTATTCCGCTGAAAAAGCCAACGCCGGTCAGTGGGTCAGTGGTTTAGGGTTTAGGGGGTCCGAAACAAGAAGAAATATTCACGGAAAAGATAGAGAGACTAATTTCATGCCGCAAACGGGCACGTGCATGGAACAATGAATTGAAGAACGGTGCCAGTCCCAAATTTCGTATCCCCGGCAAAAATTGGCGCCAAAATCAAGATCATGATAACAAGATCTGGCCCCATGCGACTCAGTTTAACAGATATGGGAGCGGCGTGACATTGGCAAATTTCAGCCAGCGAATTGTGACCTACACATGGCCCTGGTTGCATGCACGCATGACTACACGCACAGCCCAAGTGCAGGAAAGGACTTGGGTCGCAGAGGCCCCGCCGAGAACTCTCCACGCTTTTTGTTTGTCGCTTTGGGCGAACCAGGGTGGCAAAACAATCTGCATGTGTGGTGCTCTCCCCGTGCACATAGAACCGACAAGCCGTTGAGTTTAAACACCGTGCTTTCATGCACGTTTAAGTGTTGTTTCATACTATGAATTCTAGAATGCGCGTCAACCCATCAAACGCACACAGTACGAAATACTGCCAACCCCCACCGCTTTCACTGCCTCGTCGTCGCCAAAAGCCCAAGTCATCCTCCAAGAAAGGGAAAAGAAAAGAAAGGAAAAGAGAAATTATTGCGAGGTCGGTGTAGACCGCTAGCAAGGGACGCCGTCTGGCTATCTGAGCTCAGCAGAGGCACGTGACATGCCGATGCGTCGAATTTTCACGTTGCCTGCAAGGAGTATCATTCATTCATTCAAAGCAAAAAAGAAGCCGAAATGAGAAAAGGAAGAAGAGGTAAAGAGGAAAGAAAAGATCTAAGCCAGTTCCGACCCTAGTGCGTGGGCCCCGTTGCTGGGCACCTCCTTGCCGCGCCCATTCCCCTCGTCTTGCCAGGCCTCAAGGCCCTCCTCGGCCATCTCCTGCGACCCGCTCCCCCGCCGCAGGTTGTCCACCACTACCTTCGCCAGCGTCAGCACCCGGACTGGAAAGTTGGAGGGTATGGCCCGCACCTCCTCCATTTTCAGCTTGGCCGTCACGTACCTGTCCACGTAAACGGCGATGGCCCCCATGAAAGACAGCACCAGCCCTATGTTGGCCAGCAAGACTATGGTGGTCAGGAGGACCTCCGCCCCCTGCGACGTGTTGCTGTCGTTGAAGACGATCCCCGAATAGAACGTCAGAATCGTCACCAGCAAGGACGCCCCTTCCAGCAGGTTGTGCGTCTTGTGCTTGTAGGGGCGGCCCACAGTCTGCGCCACCAGCGCCAAAAGGATGATGCCCAGGCCCATCACCCCCTGCAGGTTGGCCCCCGCCTCGTGGCCGAACACCACTATGGCGCCAATGAGCCCCTTCCTCAGCAGGATGACCACCTCCCAGTACCTGTGGTCCTCGTCGTAGTTCTGGTACACGAAGCCGTAGGTGTTCAGGAAGTCCCTGTCCAGCAGCCGCCCGCGATGGTTGTTCATGAGCAGGAACCCGAGCAGGAAGGCCGGCACGCCCAAAGAGAACACCACCAGGCCGGGGATGCCTATCACGAACGCCAGCACCGCGTGCATCCCCTCGTAGCACACCTTGGCCGTGTCCTCCGCCCAGTACGAGTCCCTGGCCGTCGCAAAACCCACGTATTCCTCCGGTATGCCCACATTTGACCTCTCGTTGTCCAGCTCCACGCAATTCAAAGTCCTCATGAACTCCTCCGTCAGACTCTGGTAGGAGAAAAAAACGACCGCCAGGAGGCATATCTTCACCCGGCTTCGAATGTAGCCCACGGGGTTGTCCGGGTAGGCGTGGCGCAGCCGCAGCAAGAAGAACAGGCCGAAGCAGCCAGAGGCCGTCGCGAAAAGGATTAGAGGGAAGCAGACCCGGATGACGGAGGCGCGGATGCCGGAGTTATCACTGGTGTCGGAGCCGCCCTGGAGGGCGCAGTCCAGCGGGACCTGCGAAGAGCCGTTGGAGACGCCGGCGAGGGTATCTGGGGAGACAGAGAGAGAAAGAGTTTTCTATTAAATTGGGATCCCCTTTGTGCACGTCTTTCCATTTTACAAGTCATGCCCCGTCCGCCTTACGCCCAGCTTGTTTGCCCCATTTTTTTCTCAACCACTGAAGGCAACCAATGCTCTTAAAATATCCAAGCCCTCTGCATTGTAATGCAACGATTGGCTTTTTTTTCACGAAGCAAAATAACAAATAAAATAGCGCTCTGAAAACAAAATGCACAGCAAGCAGCGCAAAATTTCTGACGCGGAACGGCTGAATGTTTTACGGTACACTAGCCCCAGACTCGCACATCTCGAGAGTGTCTCGGGAGGGCAGGTACACTCCATGTCGGTGCCGGGGTGCGCATTGGGATCGCCTGCTCTGGCCATGTATGGTCTTGTACATTACGCAAAATGGCTGATGATTAAAGCGATAGTTGTGAGCATTTGCCCAGAGCAATAACAGCCATGTTCTGGGTGGACGTATCCAAGATATGCCTGTGGTCTGGCTGTGAATGTTCGGCAAATCCGACATATGCCATTTTTTGACGGCGGTGTGCAAATGGTGTGCGCTTTCCTTCCCGTGCCAACGCTCCATGTGGTTTTCGAGCTAGAAGACCATTGCCCCCCTGTCCCCGCCGCCGCGCACGCCAGGGTGCTTACCCCACAATCCCAGCAAGTTCTTGGCTGTGCCTGTCCACGTCAAATTGATTGCCACAGCGACCCCTGAACATCGCGAAACCACGGAGGTTGTGAGCGCTTGCAAACAAGAGCGAAGAAGAAGATGGGAACGGTCCGCTACCCCGGTAAACACCCCCGGCCATGGCGCATGCTCATCGCATCAGCAACTGACATCACTGCCATTATGATGGCGCTCGACAGCAACATCATTGGCTACTGTTGAACCGCATCGGAAGAAGAACATGTCGTGACACAGTGAAATCTATAACAGTGGCATAGAACCAAATACACTTGTAGCATTCAACGTTATCAACTTGCTAACGTTAGCATCCGCCGCCCTGGCGCCGCCTGAGACGCTCGGCAGGCGGTGGTGCCCGAATGTGATGCAATGTTCTGGATCATCAAAATTGATGTTGTGGACTTTTGATGCAGCCAAGACATCGGCTGAAGCGGCTTTATGCAGCCTTATGTACAGGAGCTTGTGTGCAGCACTATCCGTCAGCGCGCAAGCAGAAACGCACTACACAATATTGAGGCAAAAATCACTGGCACCCAGGTTTCGCGGCGTTCAGTCTTATTCAGTATTATTCGCGGCGTTGAGAGTTTCTCTTCTTTGTTTCTGAACTAAAACTCCCATCGGTGGTATCAATGTCACTATTCAAAAAAAAACAATTGCGAATAATACTGAATAAGGCAATCATCGTATGTGTAAGCAGTGAAACAATCTACAGAGCTCTATATAAACAGCGTAATCCAGCCTAATCCAGTTTTGACAGCAATGACAAATAGTAACTTTCCTTCATCCGCTGTGTCCAGAACGGCCTTTCCATCACGCAGGCGTGGCGACAGAGCAGTGCGGCCACGCTTCGGCAAACGCTTCATCGCTTTACTCTCTGCGCTTTACTGCTGGCATGCCCAGGATCAATCCTCAACTGTTTCGTTCGGGAGCCTGCGAAAATTACCTGTGACCTGAAGAAAATTGATCAAAATCTGCGCCAAAAGAAAGCAACATATTTCAGAATTTGTCGTTGCATATCCCACTTCGCCATGTATATTGCATCACATTTTGCCTAAATATTTTTATATATCGCATCATATCCGTGTATTTCATATTTCAGGCATTAAAAGATGCAGCTGCTGCATGAACCGCACGGGACAGGTGTCGAGGGTCGCTGTTGCAACGCCGCACCGTTGTGCGCAGGTGCGTAAGTGCTGCTGTCGCGCAAGTGCCAGTGTATCCATGTTTACTGATACTAGGATTAATTTGCGGAAGAGTGACAAAGCAAGTGCTTTGTCAGTACAGTGCTGTTCTTGCCAACGAAGATTGATCGATGGGCATGAGTGCTCCCACAGTGCGTCCAGTGCACGACTACCCGAATCTCCCAGTTCCAAATCAAGACCAGCTGCAGTCCATTTCCTCCCCGCAGATTCAGCTGCTGTCCACCTTTTGGGCTACTTTCGCCCACCGACAAGCTCGCCACTGCAAGCTTGATATCCACTGGGATGGATCCCCCCAGCCAACAGCCAGCGCGACATCGCCACGCCCACGACTGTGCATTCCAGATGTGATAGCTCCCTGACCATGTTTTGGACAAGGCATGACAATGCCCCCAGTTGGGGGCACCAGCGCCATGGGAACTATCCTGTGAAACGAGGCAAGTGCATGTGCGCGAGCGGCACTTGAGGCACAGGGAGCCTGTCTTTGAACCTGCAAATTCACAATCTGCATCCCTGTGCCTCAAGTGCCGCTTGCGCACATGCACTTGCCCCGTTTCACAGGATAGTTCCCATGGCGCTGTACAAACGCAAAGACCTGTCACGCTCTCCCACAGTCTCCGAAGATTCTTTGATCCCTGCCTATTCTGCGGCTCGAAGTTTCAACGCGCCGTCCATCCATAGCCGCAAGTGAAAAATGACACCAAGCAACGAATGTGGCCCTGCGCTGCTCGCATTGACATGTTTGCGCCACGAAGGCACCTTGTATGGAGCGCGAAACGACTTTAACAACGAATGCACTAGCAAAAAAGGACCAAATAGAACTTTTGGCGAACACATACATATGGATTTCATCAGCGTTTTGCATGCTAAAAGCACGAAAATAACCCCAACCCGTAACTTTGTACACGTTTGAACACGTGTTATTTGGCCCTTTTGTCCCTAGTGATGGCAGCAAGGCACATGGCCAATCTTACACCAGTTGCATCAGCCTGATGCAAACGATGGCATGCCGTTGGGATATTAGAGAAGGCGCAATTGTTGCATTGCGGAACGACCTGAGCACGGAATGGCGGTGACGGGCACGGCCAACTTTTTGCCAGTGCGCACTGGCAAAAAATTGGCCACGTGCGTCACTGCCATTCCGCTGACACATTTCCGCATGCAGGGTTAGCACAGTTCCACATGCGCATCAGATGTTCGGGTTTTCTGGGTTTGTGTGGACATGGTACCATGAATAATCAATCGCAAATCAGTAAACAAGATATTTATGAATTAATAAGCAGGCAACACTCCGCTTGGTTTTCACGCCCATCATCGCCTATCAGGTGCGCGGGCTGTGTTGTGACATTGGCAAATGCAATCGATGGACTTTGATGACGATGCATCAAAGGGCCGATTGACCCCACCTTCAGAGTCTCTGACGTCTTCTCCGCGGCGATGATGTGGTCTATGGACGGAAGGGGCTTCGTTGCCGCCCGCGACCACCCGCGCCGATGCGGAGACTGGGGCGGCGGCAGCTCCCGCTTGTCACCGCCCTCGCGTCGAGAGGTGGATCTGACCGGCATGGATCGAGAGCGCAAGCTCTTGCGTCCCTGAGCCGACTGCCCGCCTGGCCCGCCGTCCTTCCCAGGGCTCTCCGCGTCCCATCCTGCGTCGGCGCTGCCTGGCGTCTGCGCGGAGCCGTGCAGGTTGGAGGGCGCGCTGCGCGGCGCACGCAGGCACCCTGGAACATCCAGGACATCTCAAATCAGACGTTCTCAATACCTGGCTTGAATCAACGTTGGAACATGGCGCTGCATCCAGCGCTGCACGCCAGCCGCCGGCAGAAATCCCACCTTAAGGTACATCACCAAGATTGGCGATGCCAACTGCAATGCCATGCGACGCTAACTGCTGCCATCACAGATGCTTTGACGGTACTACAATCATTTCGACGGTGCCACATTGGAAAGACACTATTGTGAATTATGTACGCTTAGCGTCGATATGGCGTTAGGCTCCGACCACCCCCACCCCCATCCACCCCCTCCTCCTCCGCGCCAATCCTTATGTCGGTGGCAGGATGACGCAGCAAGATTACCTAACAATGCGATGCAGCTTCAAAACAATTTCAAGGGAAAACCCAGCCCAAATGGCAGAGATTGCAGTGATGTGAAAAACTGGGATGCCAAAAGCCATGGTGGGCGATGAGAAAATCCCCAAAGCCTGAAAATTGACCTGTTTCAAGGACTTCCTCGAAGATTGAAAGTTTTTTGAGGGAGGCTTTGCAACAGGTCATAAGCTGTCTGCCGCCGATTAGCGGCATGTTTGTGCATCTTCCGACCTTGTTTTGAGTTTAAGTGCAATTGCACAATCTCCTAGTATCAATTCATGCCCCCCCACCCCACCCCACCCAACCCCCACACCCACCGACACCCACACACACACGTGTCAATTTGACGCTGAGCGTATAACTTTGAAAAAGTGTGTCTTCCCCTGGTGTCCAAATGGCGTCGCAGTTGCCACCACCAAAATGGCGTTTTCCTCTGGTGAATAACGTTTGTGATAGGAACGTTGATGCGCACATATCACTCGGCAGCACGTAGTCCAATGTATTCACTCGATACTACGTATGTCATTCGCTATCATTCAACATCACATATTCGATATATCCGATCATATATTTGGTAGCGTTCGATAGCATTCCGCATTGCGCGGTGCTACGTCGTTTCGGTGTCGACATTACCTGAAGATGTGGCTGGAGGGTTTTGGCCCCGCCGCTGAGAGCAGCCGATGCCCTGCTGCCAGACGGTCATCTCCTCCAAGTTCCTGATGCTTGATAGGGCGCTTCGGATCGCTATTGCCAGCAGCAGGAAGGTCCAGAGGGCCACCAGGAAGACGATGAAGACGATCTCGCCGCGGGTTTTGTCGCAGACGGTGCACTCCCCGCCGGGGAGGTGACCGAATCCAGGCGCGCAGGAGCCGCACAGCACGCCCTGATAGCCCTGCAAGATGCGAGACGCGGTGGTTGAAAATCAATTTCGAGTTTGTCCTGCGTTGTCTTTGCAGACTTCTGCCTAGTGTTTTATGGCGATTCCACGAGTTCAATGCCTACATTTCGATCGCATTCAGCTCTGCCACAAGGAGCACAGAGTTGGCCTTGGTGTGGGCATTCCTTCACTTGTCCAAGGTGCAGTCCGCAACACGCATTGTGAGGCAGCCAAATTTCTCCCTTCCAAAAACACTGTCAATGAGTGTACTGCAGCTTGAAGGGCTGCAAATACCTCGCAATACCTTATTACCGTGAACGCGAGCCGCATGTTGGCAAGGCGCCATGCTTCTGAGAAGGACGAAATCGCATATGTGCCAAGCGCGCTTTTCTGCAGTTTCTTTCAAGCCAAATCACAAAGTTCATTTTCTGGCTCTTCTCTTTTATCTCATCTTTTCCTTTCTTTCTTTTCGACATTTCTGAACGGCATTTTAAATCCGGCGTTCGTCCCACCTCTCGGCACTGCTGGTACTCCTCGTTCGAGAACTGCCGCCCAGTGTCCCTCGCATTTATTACTTCACCCACGGTAAGGTTATTGAAGAAGCTGGCCAGAATGTCGTCCCTCGGCACCACGGTCTTGTTCGTGTCGCTCACCTCGGCCTCGAAGCTGCAGGCCTCTTCCAGGATGCATTTGTGCAGCCGCAGGGAAAATGGGCTCGAATGCCAGAAGCCGGGCAGCGGCACCAGCGCCGCACCGCCGGGACAATGGGCCCTAAAATGTCGACACATTACAGCATTAAGAATCCAAAAGCAAAATAGTAAAATATATAATATATAATATATAATATCAAATAGTAACCAAATCATTTTTGTCCTCTGAATACATTGACACGCACAGCTCGATGCGCTTCCCGATGTGCACAGCAATGCTGGCGATGAATGCGAAAATGACCGCGGAACTTTGCAGGTGTGCACGTGGCTATGCGCAATAATTCCCGTGTTAGCACAAACGGATCGAAAAGGCAGCATGACAGAGCCGCCTTGAACATTCCAGGCAGTGACAATCTGACGCAAACACGCATTCTGTCATATCTCATGCACATCGCCGCCAATTCATGCAGAACACTGGCCAATGCTGCCCTTTGCGAACAACTCAGAGCCCAGTTCTCACAGCTTCAACTTCTCGAAGCAGTGCAAGACTCGCCCAAAACGGGCCCAAGCGGCAGAAAGATCGACGGCGCTGTCCGCTCCCGGCAACAGTACAATAAATACTCGTTTCGTACAGCTTCAGGATGTTTTAGAATTGCATTATAATGGCATCGTGTCATGTGCTATCTTCGATGGCGTGCATGAAACTCGTTATAATGAAATTCCGCACCACAGGGCGAGGAGATAGCCACCAGCTTTCCGAGAAAGCCCTGTCCATGAGTTGTTCAGTGAAATCAAATGCCCAGCACAAGCGCAGAATCCATCAGTTCCCGCTTTTGGGAATCTCAGGTCGTGTTATCGCGATCCCGGCCGCGTCAACACAACTGCCTTCACAAGTAGAAAGCAGCCTGTTTGCAATGCCGACTACCGTGCCATTTGACAGAAATAGATGTCATCGTAGCCGCTTCAATGCAATTGCAATCACCGTGAAGGCGCCATTTTGTGTCAAAATAGCATCGAAGTTGGCATCGCAAACAGGCTGTTTCAACGAGTACATTTTCGGTGCGACTTTTCGCTAGTGCACGAGACACCCCCCCTCCCCTTCATATTAATGGGTCCGTACGTGGAAAGCGTTACTTTCAACAGCTTGTTGCGCCTTCACAGTGCTTGATCGACAGAAACTGATTGACTCCTCCACATACACCGCATTCTGCTGGCCCAATACACAAGTAAAAAATCGGCCAAAATACACTGCTTCAAACCGTGTAGAATTCTTGTGAAACCGCGTCCAAACGTTCGAAGTGCATCTGCATTCACTCAATCGTTGCTACATGGTTTGGTCCCATTCTTATACGACAAGTATACGATTTTTACAGGTTTCTCAATCGTGATGCATGGCACACAATTTTCAAAACAGTGTATTTCGGCCTGCTTTTCACCAGCGACATTGGCGCCCGCCACGCACCGATCGTCGCACTTCCTGCATTGCACGGTGGGCAGCAGGCTGAAGACGCCCCGGTTGCACTCGGCGCAGAAGCTTTGCTCCGTGAAGTTGAACTCCCCGGGCCTGCAATCCCGCACCGACAGCCGCCCCACGGCGGGCTCCAGCTGGGCCCTCAGGCCCGCCGCCTCGAAGGTGAGGTTGAAGCTGCCAGGCTTGGAGCTGACGCGGATGCCGTCGAACAGGACCAGGCCGCCGACGGCGTCTGCAGTCCTCTGGCCGGACACAAAGTCCTTGCCGGTGGCGTCCGAACCTGATGCGGTCACCTTCAGCTCTGCACGGAAAAGAATAAGGCTTGAGTGGCGGGAACAGAAAAAATGGTGTGAAAATTGTTGTAAACTGCTGGGCCACCCGGACCATTTCTTCGCAAGACAGGGTTGCTGGCACTAGTAAAAAACAGGCCAGATGACACAGTCCTGACACGGTCTGCTCAAAATCCAACTGTGTACTTTCGGCAAATGTGGTCCCAAAAGTACACATTTAGTACACACATTAATACAGTTTCAACCGTGCATCTTAGGAAACCGTGTAGTCTACACAGTTGTTTAAGTGTACACGGTTGAAACTGTGTCCATGTGTGTACTAACTGTGTACTTTTGGGACCACATTTGCCAAAAGTACACAGTTCGATTTTGAGCAGATCGTGTCAGGACTGTGTCATTTGGCCTGTTTTTTCCTAGTGTGGTGGGTGGAATATGACAGCAAGCCGAGTTCAGGCATGAGCGGTGAGTATTGCGTTGGCTGTATTTGCATATATTGGTGAATTGCATTTTTAAATGGTGGCTATATTTTTGAATATTGCGTGATATTGGTTAGATATAGTGCGTTGGCATGGCCGTTGGGAGCGCAAGAATTGGTGGCTGGCCTGTACGGTTTGTCGCACAAACGCCAGCGACAAGCTGCCCACTCTGCTAAGTTTGTTTGAGCATTGAAACGGTGCTGTTTTGGTGGTACTTTCGTGCAGCATCGCTGTTGCGCATGATATACTGCATGATTGCGAGCGAGCGAGGCAAGCGAAGCTGTAGACCAAAAACGAAGTTTTGGCCGACCACCGGCCACCGACCGCCCACTCACCACCCGTCCCCAGGCTTTCTTCCCAGGATTTCTCTGCACCTCACGCGGCGCACGTGTAGCATTGCGCGTGGCATGGGCGCCCACCACCCACTCGTCCCCATCCCCGGGCTTACTTCACCTGTGCGCGGGGTGCAAGCATGGCACAGCGTCGGCACCGACCCGCCTTCTGCCATCTTCCCCTGGGTTTCCACCACCAGCACACCGGCCTGGTGGGGTGGGCTTGCGCATGACTAAGGGAAGAGAATGGGGGTTTCTGGGACACTTCTAGTGCCATGCGCTATGCGCGCATGGTCACCTTTTTGCGTTATCCACGCGGCCGTTATGCTGTTTGCGCAACGTCTCTGGTGAGGCTCCCAGGTGGTTTGTGGTCCTTCACTAGCACGCGGTGCATGGGTGGTGCGCATCATGGACGCCGGCCATGCACACGCTGCCCATCTCTAGGCTTCCCTGACGAGCAAGCGGCGCGCGTGCGACGCAATGTCCAGCATGGCCATGGACCGGCCACTCATGCCCATGCCCCCGGGTTTCCTTGACTGACATGCGCCGCGTGCCGTGGGTACCAACCCGGCTTCGCTTCAAAGGCGCACGGACTGGTGGGATTGCGCATGACTAAGGGAGGGGGGAACACCTCTGGTGCCATGCGTCATGTGTTCGTGGTCACTTTTTTGTGTTACGGATGCAGCCGATGCGACATTTGCATTATGGACATGGGTGGAGAGACCCGCAGCAAGCGGTGTGCATACATTTGACCACGGACTGGGGAGGGGGGGAGGCTTGGTGGGATACGTGAATCGGGAGGGGCTTGGGCGAGTGGTCGGTGGTGGCATTGCAATCATCTACTACCTTGGCTCGAGTTGCGTCTGGGAAGGGGATCGGGGTGGAATGGAGGGTTTTAGGGGAAGCCAATTCGAACAATTCTGTCGATCGACGCAAATCTGTCTGATCGACGCAACAGGTCGTTCGCTGCGATGTCCATCTCGAGCAAGCTGGGTGGCCGCTCTGGATTGGCTCTTGGCCAAAAGGGGGGGCGGTCGGGGGCATGTTCAAATTTGACAATTGCGTCCACGGCGATTGACCCAACGGGTCGATCGCCGTGGTCGTTCACTGCAAAGTCGTTCACCTGGCAGCCTCGCTGCGGCGCTTTGAAGTGCCTTCTTGGCCGCCAATTGGAGGCGAGTGGCGTTGTGGGGTGGGGCGGGTGTGTGTGGTGGCGGTGGGGTGGGCGGGTGGGTGGGTGGAAGGGGGGGGGCAGGGAAAGGTCAAATTCTGTTTGTGGCGATCGACCTAGCGGGTCGATTGGTGTGACCTTTCACTTCAGAAAGGTGTGCTGATGTCCTTGGGGCGGGCGGCTTGGAGCGCAGCTTTGGTACTCGCTCTTGCTCGTAACAAAGTAGTTGTGGGCTGGTGTTTAGTGTTTAGGTTGCCAAACTTGCAAGTTTCCTTGCAATTTGTCACACGAATTGTAGCAAACTTGTGTGTGCGCACATGTGCACCTCTCGAGCGATCATGGTTGCGAGGGCAATGTGCATTTTGCATCTGTATTACCAATAAATTTGCACGTGTCTTGTCATTATGGTGCTGCATGGCAACGGGTGCATATTGACAGCAGATTTGACCTTTTCCATGAGCTCACCCATCTTCATGGATGAATTTTTTCTGTGCTCAACTCGCCGTTCACTGCATCACACATCTTCCTGGAACCACCCAATCATTAGCAGGAAAAGAACCAAATAACACTTTTGCGAGCACACATAAAACACATTTCATCAAAGTTCTGTACACTAAGAACACAAAAATAACACAAACCCGTAAACTTTGTATACGTTTGAACACGTTTTGTTTGGCCCTTTTTTCCTGGTGAATGGACCGAACCCTGAATTTAGTGCAGTGTTTCTAGGGCTGAGGGGCTGGGCGAACATTTTGAAATCAGGGAAGGAAGCTTGCACATTTGCGACACACACTCTTTGCCTTTTGCATTAATGCACTAATGTAAATATTGAAATTCCCTTGTTTCGACACAGCATCGACTGTCCTGAAAAGTTGAGCGACAAATATTGAATTGCACTCTTTTTGGAAATGCAAAAAAATTTACACGACAAGGACCTTACCCGAGTCAGTGATGCCGGCCCGAATTCTCTGATTGAAGGCGTCGCACACGTCAAATGTGATCTTGGGCAAAAGGTCGCTTCCCTTGTGATCCTCCTCGAAGAATCCATTCTCAGTCAATTCCGACGTTCGATTGAGCAGCGTGACCGAGGAGGCGACGTTGGGTCCAAAGCCATCCTGCCCCACGCCGTTCCCGATCATGGTCAGGCCGGTAGAGGCAAAACTGGCGCCGTCAGCCGTTACGTTGGTCAGCTGCAGCGGTTGGCTAAAGAAGCCCTGCAAGCGACGCAGTCGATCGTCAAGCTCGTGTCCACATTCGTCTGGCACCGTTGTCATGTTGTCATGTGTTATGTGCAGAAAGGCAAGGAAGCAGCCGTCATTTTCTGTGTGCCCGACCACAGCCGTCCCCATGATTTGTTCATGGAAGTTTTGTTAAACACAAGCAGAATCCAGGGTCTACAGATTCCTCGTCTATGTAGCCTGCGCTCACAAAACGGAACCAACTGTGCTTAGCGCACGTCCAGGATAGAAAACGTGAAACTTGGGCGCCGATTGACACATGTTTGATGCTGCATCACCAAAATGTACTCACCTCTGATATCCAAATGTCCTCCGCGTGCGTGGCAAACAGGGCGCCGCCCGCCGCGGTGGCCATGTTGCTGGTGAAATTCAAATTGCTCATCACCATCTCGTGGCACCTGCCAAGGGGTAAGGAAGCGGAAGAGGCCGCCCTGCATTCCCCGGGCGCCAGCCACAACGGCAAACTGTCGGTAGCGGCAAGTATGCCACCTGAATCGCACGCCATGCCACAAATTCAACCTCAAGTTACTGAAAATGTTAATCTCGACTTGAATGCGCTTGGACAGGGCTTCATTGGATCTTCGCTGGCTGTTGGATGAATGAACGCCCGTGGGCCCATTGCAGCAGTTGGGTCATAGAAAATTTGTGCATCTAGCCCAGCAGCGACACTGGAATTGAAGGCTGTGGAGTCGGATGGAATCGCATAGGAACACAACTAGGGGTATCATGCAACCTGCATGCAAACACACTACAAATTCGCCACTACGTATTCATTAATGAGTAAATGGCCCTAGATTTTGTGGCACGATTCAGCTGTGTGGACAGCAGGTCCAAGCACAGCGGAGAACGTGTGCTAGTCGCTGATGTTGACGATATGGGTACAAAATAATACTCTTCCAGATAAAAAGAGGTTTCAAAAATTGGCAGCTAATCCTTCCATTCAAGACATGTGATTGTCCACGCACTGATAATTCGATCTGTTTTTAACACATCGATCTAACTACTTTGCGAACGAAGCCATGTAAAGCACAATACTGCAGGTTCCAAAACTGCCTTCATTTACACTGTTCTATGGGAAACTGTAATATTGATATGGATCAATATTTTATTGATATTGATGTGGACTTTGATATTGATATTGATATTGATATTGACATCGATTAATATTTCTGAATCTGCGACATTTCGATTGATCAGTTCATTCACGCCGGCCCCACCTCCCGTGGCCGCGCTGTTGTTTTCGAAGGCGCAGGAATCGATCTGGACAGCGAGCGTGCCCTTCCTGGGCGCGCGCGCGAGCGCCAGGCAGATGGCGCCCCCGCCTCCCGGCACGCACGGCTCTTCCGACCTGGGGTCGATCAGCAGGCTGCCCCCCCGGCCGCCGACTACCTCGTTCACCGCGCCGAACAGATCCAGCTCCCCACCCCCCCTGTTCGGAACGTCCAAATCGCCGAACTGCGTGTCGTTGGGCGACGTGACCGCCTTGTTGCCTCGAAACGACGCATCCAGGATGTCGAACTCGAAGGCATTCCCCACGGGATTCTGCATCCGGACGTACACCGCGCCTCCCGCCAGGGCCGCGTTGTTCTCGAACTCCAGCTTCCGGCCGGCGGTCGCCTGCATGCGGAAGCTGCTGAGGCTGTCGATGAATAAGGCCCCTCCTCTGTGCGCCGTGTTGCCCGAGAAGGAGGCATCCTGCAGAGTGGTCTGTCCGGTGCCGACGGAGTCCTGGGCGGCGACGGCGCCGCCGTCGCGCAGCGCGTGGTTGCCAACGAACCGTGCGGCCTTGAGCACCACGTCGGCTGCCAGGACACAAGCACATCGTACCGCAGATTAGTTTCCCCATGTGCACATGGAGCACGACATTTTGCGATGCCAACCGCGATGTCGTTGACGCGAGCTGATGCCATCGCAGCCTCTCAAGAGTGGCATCGCGGCTGGCCTCCCAAATGTGGTGTTTTCTGCCAGCGATAGTTGACAAGTGGCCTCTGCAGCAGCGCGGCCGAGAATGCTCCACGCGCCGCCAGTTCAACCGGGGTTGGTGTTTTAAGGCGTTACAGCCTGTACTTCCATATTTTTTCATTTTTTTGGGTAAAAACACGTAATGCACGCTGTGTTTCCCTGTGAATAACAAGCCTGGCTTTAAGTCGCGAACTATTGCTGACACGCTGAAGTGCATCTCGACGATAAGACGCCGTGTGTGCAATTACGCCAAATTAAAACAAATTAAATAAGTAAATTTTGCCACGCCAACACTCTAGAATGCATCAAAAGGCACGCTGCATCAATATAATATTCCAGAATGCGTTTCCGCGCAGTGATTTCCAAACCAATGTGCAGCAATCGCTGCAGCCTGAATCATTCACACTAGTGGAGCTGGCCATTTCTTGGAGGCCATTGGCGTGCTGGGACGCCACTGGGATGCTTCCTCGCGCTCTTCCTCTGAAGCGAGTGCTTGAGGGAGCATCCCAGTGGCGTCCCTGCAACGTCCCAATAATCGTCATTATGGTCAATCGGCGTCCCAGACATGGCCATTTCCACTGTTGTTGGTGGCGACATGTAGATTCGAGCATGTTATCGCCAGCTGGGCCCAGGGCCTGCGCTTCGCCACCTTGTAAGAGATGCAATCAAAGGAACTTGAAGATGACGGTTTGAAAACTAAAGATGGAAATCCGCACGGTCTTCCCCGCACCTGAGCCCTGCATGTAAATTGCGCCGCCGTCGATAGCCACGTTCCCTCGGTACTCGCTGCTGCCCTCCGGCGACGTGTTGCCTGTGGCCCCCACTCCAGCCCCGTTCACCACTAAAATCGCTCCCCCGGTCTGGGCTCTGTTACCGGTCGCGTTCACATTCTGAAGGTTGACGTTCAGCGCATTCCGGAGCACGACGGCCCCTCCGCCCAGCCAGGCTGTGTTCCCCACGAAAGAGTTGCTGTTGATGTCCACCGTGGCGCTGGCGCTGGACACCACGTGCAAGGCACCCCCGTACCCCGCCGTGTTGTTTTGGAACGTGTTGTTGACGATGCTGTAGTTTGCCGCATCCGCCGTCGACGCCACGTAGACGGCTCCGCCCTGCGCCGCCGCCAGGTCACCGCCCTCCCGTTCGCTCGCCTCATTGTTGAGAAACGTGTTGTTCGCCAAGGCGACGTTTCCAATCTGCAACAGCGTCATTGCGCCGCCGACCTGTGCAAAGGAGTGCGCAGTCGGGTGAGCATGGTGGGAGCATTTGCAGTCGGGGAACCAAGCATGTGATGCGAGTTTCTGCAAGTTCCCCGTGCTTCAAATAGAATATATTGGTCCCTCTGTCTTTTGCGTGAGGATCCCTTCATATTCCGCTGACAAGGCTAACGCCGGTCAGTGGTCAGTGGTTGAGGGCATAGGGTGTCCGAAACAAGAAGGGATGTTCACGGAAAAGACAGAGCGACTGATTTCATGCCTGCTTCAACGCCACAGTGCGGGCACAGCGTCATCTATGCAAGGCAATACGCACCGATTACAGCACAAAAACGTTAAGGAAGGCTTGGTGCTGTCATCAAGACTCTTCAGCATTGAGACCTGAGCGTTTGTGCAAAGCTGCACAGCTGTGGATCCGTGGCTTAGTCGTGGCAAGACAGGCGCTGTTGCGCAACCACCGCACCCCAACCCATTTTCACGACATGTGTATGATGCCCATGAGTGCGGAGGCGCTTCAACACCGTGATGTGAATACACCTGCTTCGATAAGCAGCAGGTGTGCTAAGACCACGGGGGAATAATCATGACTTGATAAATTGACCAAGAGCATCATTGCTCCTTCAAAATCGCGATTTTTCTTTCAAAACTTCAACTCAAAAGTAAATCAGTATTCTATTCCCGAACGTTTCTCTTGGGAGAACAATAGAACTGATGTTTGCAAATCGTAGGTGGGGACAAGCTCCCTCGGCAAGCAAAAGAGAGCGAGGACATTTCAAAACGCCTGCAGCTTCTGATGTGCAGCGCGACAAGGTACCCGCACGTAAAATGTCATGTGGGTGCATCTTCATGCCCACGCCATGACAATGTTGCAAGCAGGAATGGTGCGGATGTGTGCACATTCGGCATGCAAAAGGTCTGTCACTAATACCCCAATCAGAGAGGTCCTTTGGCCAGCACTGGCACATCGATTGAAGAGGCAGAAAGTTAGATCCACAAATAACCACACTGAAATGCAATTCTATTTGTCATGGTGCGACGAGCACAATATTCTTGTATTGACCCCGAGGGATACCACAACACCTGAGTTGAAAACGCTTGGAGCTATAGTGCATAATTCTGCACTGTGAAAAATGGACAGACGGCCAAGACTACGCGATTTGGATCCATTGAACGTGCTCTGCGCTGCGTGCAACAGTTGCCAGCAGCTTTGAACTCAGCCTACACAGACTGTCTTCACTGTTAAAGACTGTATCAAAGACTGTCCTAGACTGTCTTGCTATCAGTGCCCATTTCTGTGCGGTTGCTGGTCATGATTGATGATTAATGATGAATGGCTAACTGATGAATAATGAGCAATGATTAATCAACGACTAATTAACGCTTAATGAACAACGGGTAATTAAATATTAATGATTAATCATGGCCAGAAACCGCCCAAAAAATGTGCAGTTGGGAAGGCTCTGGCCAGTTTCGGTCCGCGGATCGCATTGCCACTCACCGGAACAGCGAAATTGGAATCGAATGTCGTCCCGGAGACGAAAACGCTCAACAGGTTCTGCGCCGACACCCCGGCGGCAGACACCGCCGTGAAGGGAAACATCACGAGCTGAGAAGCTTCCAGCGGAGCCCCATTGGGAGCCGTCAACTCCCCCGTCTGCTCCAGGCCTTGCATGACCCGGTTGCCAGTGAACCGGCAGTTCGTTATGTTCAGGACCACGTCCGCGTCCGGCTCCGAGCTGTCCGCGCCCACGGCGCCGGCGCTCACCCTCGCAGTGTTGTTGAGGAAAGCGCTGTTGGCCACGCTGAGGCTGGATCCCAGAGATGAGATGGCCCCGGCCGATGAGTCCTGATCGCCGTTCCCGATGAACGTGCAGTTCTGGACCACGACGGACCCAGATCCCAGTATGCTCAAGGCCCCCGCCCTGGCCTGGTCGAACTCGGCGGTTGCAGAGGTGTCCGTGTTGTTGAAGAACTCCACCGATCTGATGGTTGTTTGAAATTGGGGCGGGGGGGCAGATGGGGCATCTGCCGCTGCTGGGCCGCGGATCCGCACTGCAGTGCCCGTGCAGTTTTCAACGCTGAAATTTTCCAGGACGGTGCCGGGGCCTCTGCAAATACACCAGTGCAGTTTCTGAAGAAGTTCATGAAAATTTTAAGGGAGTTCAGGAAGCTCTCAATATTTTGTCAAGCAACATCAAACGGGCACATTGCACGTGTTACAAAGGACGTGTTGTGCGTACAACTAGAAGCAAGCGTACCTGCTTTCTGCTGAGAAGCAAGAAACGTCTTTGGAAAGACACACGTGAAATCTATCAGCAGTGCACTTGTTTGCTTCGGAAGACCTACAACTTCTAATGCATCTTGTTGCATCATGGGCACCAGATCGATGAAATTTGCGTGCTTCTTCCTTTTCATCCCCCTTGGAAAACTCCATCCATTGGCGATTCAAGTGATTGACTTGGATTTAAACGAGCTTGTCAGAGCAGCCAACGGCGACTGTTGTTGGCAGCCGCATTTCGTGAGCAAAATGTCTCCCTTATGGAAAGTGTGGTCTGTTGGAAATTGCACGGCGCTAGCACCAGCCTTCCATCCGCCTTCAACACCTCCACATCCAATCATTCGCAAATTGGTATTGACAATTTGGAATGAGACAATGTTCACTGGGAATCGGAATCCACACCTGATCTCAATGGCAGCTGCGGGTCCAGCGCACACAATTGACGCTCTGCCCGTTGCTGAATTTCCAATGATCTGTGTGTTGGACGCATTAACGCTCAGCACATCACTGATCCTAATTGTGCCGACCTCCAACGACACGGTGGTTCCATTAGCAAGGTTTCCGAAAACGTCAGCAATGGCTGCCGCATTGCTGGAATTCACTACCACACGACTCCCAGTCCCTTGGAGCAGATGCCTGCCTGCAAGCAACATTGAATCAGTGCGTTTCGACTCAATTGCCTGCGAAACGAGGTTGATTCATCAAATTCAAATTGATTTCCCGGCCATAGCATCCTTGTGATATTTCCCACGGATGGCAAATTGTCCATTTAAAAAATCGAGCATTGTCGCAGCCACCTCAGAACGAATGACGTCGCAGCAAGAAGACGTCTGGAACAGTCCGCAACGCGTGGACAAGAGTATGCAATAGTACAGTAGAACAAATATGCACTTGAAGTATCCCTTTTTTGTGATTATATTTAAGCAATTTGTACACAGCTATTTATTTAACTGCTCTGTGAAATATTGTAAAACATTTGAAGCACATGATTATCTTGATAAAATTAAGTTTACAGGCAACGGTGGGCTGAATGCGCCACACACGGTTATGTGCCAACATAACCATTGATTTGCTATTTTCCACCGATGTGATGTCCCTACAACACAAAATGCATTGACAGAAGCACAAACCCAATTTGTTGTTTGGACGTGCATCAACACATTGATGTGCTGTTGCCAGATGCGGAAGGAAATTTAGGTGATGCCTGTGGCCTGTACATTTAACTGGTGCAATATTGCACAAAAAGTCCAATGCTCATGCATGAATGCCTGGGATCTGGTTACCCAAGAGAGGGGGGGGGGGGGAGGGGGGACAGGAGAGGGGACAGACAGTTTGTCGCCACGTCCACACAGACAACCACATCACACGGTTGATGTACCCTTTGAGCCAATTCTGGCGCAAGACAAAGCATTTGGCGCTGTGGCGTTCTGCCTCCCCTAACCGAAACACGGGGCTCTTATTTCACTTGAAAGCTGCTGATGCAGCATTGTCCTGACCGAAACATGGGACTCTTATTTCATTTGAAAGCCGCTGATGTAGCATTATCGGGTAAGGCACTGTCTGTGCTGCGGGCTCAGGGCACACAGACTGCCAAGACACTCGCAAGGGCCTTGGCAGCCCGTGTGCCGAGAGCTGCAATTGGTTTGTCCATACCATACTGTAAAATATTCAACCTGCTGCGTGGTAATATGTTACGTCAAACGCTTGGCCTTCTTTTGCGGAGAAAACAATGCAATAAAACCAACGCTCTTTCAACAAAATTTTCTCATAGCAACGCGAAAAAGGTCAAAGCAACGCTCTGAAAAAGTTGCGGAGCGAAAAGCCTAGCGGTCAAATTTTTGATGGAGAAGCGTTGAGTGTACTACGGTAGCCAATTGCTTTATCTATCCTTGCATAATGCAGCTCTCTGATCCGGGGTGGAGCTGTGTGCAGCCCGCGAAGGGGGCTGGTCGCCCGTATGCCCGGCACATCATGCATCTTATCGGCCACTGCCCCTGCGCCAGAAGCCCGCCGCATTCAAAATCGTGTGCGCCCCGCGCCTGCGCCCGAGTCGTGGGCTGCTGTGAGGCTGTGCGGGCGCAATGCCAGGATTCCTCCTGAGAAACGACCAGTAATCCCTTCAACGGACCCCACACGTGTGACGACATGCATGAAATTAGTCGCTCTGTCTTTTCCGTGGATGCCCCTTCTTGTTTCGGACACCCTGAACCCCCTGAACAACTGGCCAGCTGACCGGCGCTGGCCTTGTCAGCGGAAGGAGCAGGGATCGTCACGGAAAAGACGGCGGAACTAATATACTTTCCGTGATGACGTCAGCACACGTCGGCGAACGTCAACGCCCGCCCGCTGACTGTGCCGTGCAGCCCTTGGGTGGAGCGAACCCATGCCGCTGCTGGGCCGCCCCTTCGCCCTCCGCCCCCCCGCTCACGCAACGGCGCGTGAGGGACCTGTTTCGTGCGGGCTCGCAGCGCGCCTTGCGTCCAACCGCCCGAGTTGTCCGTTGTCGGGTCTTCCGGTTTTCGGGTCCGGAACGTGGATCCAGCGCCGCGGGCCACGTCAACACCCCACCCCCATAGGCCATGTCGCCGGAGCAGCGTCGCCGGTGGGGCGGCCAGAATGGGACGGCAGCGACGAGGTGGAAAGCGCGCCGCAGTAGTTGAACGAGGGCTGGAAGCGTGATGGTCGGCCTTCGGCGAATTGACCTCGGCGCCGGCTTACCATGCCCAAACCCCGAGCACGTCCCTGCCGCTGCCCCCTCACGTGGAAGCGGGACGATCGGTGGCAATCGCTCGCTATCGATCGTTCCGCATTTGCTGGACGAGGGCTCAAAGCGTGAAGGTCGGCCCTTCGGCGAATTGACCCCACTTCCGGCTCACCAATCCTGGACTCCGTGCACGATTCTGACGCCGCAGCCTCGCGGGAAAGCGGAGGGTTCGCCCCGCCCTTCCCCCAGTGTCGGTCGCAGGAGTCGAATCCTCCCACCAAACCCCCGCCCCCCGGCCCTTCTACGGGCTGAAGCGTCGCCACAGCACGGCAGCGGCCCGACACAGTTCAGCCCCCTTGCGGCGCAACTCCCCGGGACAGGCGCCCGGATCCCTTTGTAAAGGGCGATCCGGGAAGCCAACCTCACGAGGCCACGACAGCCATCCATGCATCTTACCACGCAGCAACGCCATCCACAGATGGCATAGGCACACCCACATCCCACATCCGCGGGTATTCTGCGCTCCTATGAAACCGGCAGATTCCCCAGGCCCTCCTAACGGCGGGTACCTGGTCACACGCCCCGCCCGGAACATCCCCCCCAACTTGCCTACGAAGGAGCTTGCCCTATAATCCCTCCCCTCCTCGGAGGCCATCCTCCCCGCGCTCAACTGCGCGGCATCTCCGGCCAGCGCCAGGTCCACGGCGGCCAAGACCGCCACAGCCTGAAGCAGCCGGGAGAGAACGGCCGACGGCGCCGTCGACATCGACCTCCCCCGGCAGAGGAGGTGGGCAACCACCGCGCCGAAGCGCCGCCCCCCGCGCGGTGCGTGGTGTGTGTGGCTGGATTGGCGGCAGTTCGCGCCAGTGGACTCCGCCAGCGGGGTAGCTTGAGTATGGCGGTGTTGCGGGTGCCTGGCGTGCGACACTGCAGCGCAGGGGCTGGGGATTTTGTGGCAGCGTACAGCAGGTGCGTCACTGCAGCGAAGGGAGCCAGGGCCACGCGGCCCGTTCGGGACGTACAGTGCCGTACTGTGCCGTGAGAACTGAAACGGAAAGGAGTTCACTTGTTCACTTGTTCACCAATTGCCCACAGCATAGTAACGCCCATTGTCCCCACCACTACTCGTTGGGAAGCTCATACTGTCCCCACCATTACTCGTTGGGAACCTCATACTGTCCGCAGATACGCCGCGTTCGGGAGGCCTCTTCTCAGGAAGTGCCGGGATAGCGACCGGCGATTCCAGCGATGGCACCGAAGGTTGACCAATTGGGAGCCAGGATTGCTTTGCGATGTCCCAATCAGCGTTGGGTGTGATAATTGCTTCGGTTTGATGTGACCGCGAGCTATTGTGCGGCATCAGCGTGACCACGACCCAACTGGAAGCTGCACCATCCTTCAGTTTCGCAGTAGCTGCGTTGGTTGACAGCGTTTTGGTTTCCAGCTGGAAGCTGCACGGAATTTTCGTGAGGACACAAATCAAATCAAAAACACAGTTAGAAGCTGTGTGAAATGGGTAGGTTCTGCCGCCAAATGAGAATTGCCGACAACGCTGGCGATAGACAATGTGCTCAATGAACGCCCTTTCCCGACACCCATCCAGGTGGATGCGTGTCGGCTCCACACTGGAAACACAGAAACATGCATTTGCCTAGAGGTGCATTTGCCCACGGCTGCTCAGACGATGAGCACCCACCGCGTGAAATCAACGTCTATGCCGTATCAGCAACGCATCAGGCTGCAGATGGGATCTCGAGCCGCCATCGCTTTCAAGGCGGAAGGTTCGGTATTCTCCACACAACAGGGAGAACAGTGCAAGAAACTCGGTTGCTGCCACAGTGTGGCAGCAACGGAAAGCTGCGGCCCTCAACCGGCATGTGTCGGAACCAAATTCAGAAAGCGACGACAGCAGCGTTTGGACGAAAGCGGATACGGATATGGTATGGCAGGCGTCAACACTCCACATCTGGAAATTTGGTTGGGTGGACTCACAGATGCGCAACCGACGCCAAGAAGGCGTCCATGCTTTTAACTGGGTAGCTCTGGACGCAATCTAAGGTACACACAACCACACACTTAATTGACAGGCCCTCTTCAGGTGACGGCATTGCCCGGCAGAAGAACGGACAGTGCCTTGTCATGTTCTGGACAAATTTGAGACATTGACGAAGGCAGGCAGGATCCAGGGGGGCGGATCCCTGAACGGGGATCGTACGCTCGAGTCCACGGCAATGGTTTACAGCCGAGGCAAAGGGACAACAAGAGTTCTGTCCCTTGTATTCAGTCCGTTCCTCAACGTCCTTAATGCAACTCCTAATGCCTCATCATCTCTTTATACATTCAGTTGTCCATAACACTCAATCAGCTCTAGTGACAACAACATAAACGAGGAAGCATCCCAGACAGCAGCTGGCCGTGGTCGATCACAAGGCGGCGCCCTGGACAGTATGCATGTGTAAATGTGTGTCTTGCCTCGATCGCACATCTGCACTGGTCGCATGCCGCGGCTTGCCCACCGTTGAAAGCTTGCATATCCCCCTCCGCCCAGCAGCCTACTTTCACAAAATTGGCCTCACAGCAGCGTAGCTTTCAGTCCGCGTGGTGGCGCGGCATCGTCCATTGGGCGCAAAAGCGCAGGCTCTGCAACACACTCTGAAAATCGCAATAAACGCAGGTGTGCAAACAGAGGGTTTTGCATCGGCCTTCGTTTTCGGGAGCAACAAGTGACGGTCATTGATGAAGAGAAGCTCTGCCTCCAGATACCGAAGGCTGACAGGCGGGAACTCCCAAACAATGACAGTTTCGGGAGATTCGACCCATGTGATCCGCTTTGCTGAATTGCGTGGCCAAATGGGCAGCAAACATGGCGTTGTTCAGAACTGACGTGGGGCGCCTTGCGGCCCATGCTTGGTTGAGAGCAACGGGCAGTCCCTAGCTCGTTGCCTGTTGGGCAGCTGACAACATGTCAAACAAGAACAAAATCAATGGCGCTCGTTCCTCCACTGGAACACAACAGTGGCTGCGAGTGCTTGGCGATAGGCCGCAAATCCCAGCCCCGTTTACACGTCCAAAAACGCTGGGAACAAAATGACATGGAGAGCATGCGCCCTTTCTTGTCTCAATGTGCACCAGGCTTCCGTGCTAAACCTGCACCAGCCAGCACGCCTGTTCAGCTCTCGAACCCCAGCCCCCGCCTCCAGCAAAGAATTCCAGAAAGCCAAAGTCTGCCTCAGAAAGAGGCGCCCCCTTGTCAAGTAAGGCAACTCAGCTTGTCTCGCCTCTAACAAAGGAAGCAATGTGCTGCCCTTGGCAGCAGGATCACTCACATCCCAAAGTCTCCTGACTGCGCCATTGACAACAAAATGACGTTGTTGCTGAAATCCTCACGGCTCATCCCCAGCCACATGGGCACGGATCCCTTCCGGAAAATCGCCGACCGGACGCCCGTCTTGTCGCACAGGTCGATCACGTCTGCTGGGTCCATCGGCATCCAGGCAACCGCCACCTTATCAGCGTCCTCCCACAGCTTCATGCACTCCAGGCAGTGTGCCGCATCGACCCTGTCTTGGAACCCTACGGCGATCTTAAGGCCCGTCTCCTCGTCCTGGAACGCCAGTATGTTGGGGTTGTTTTCACCATCCATGTACATCATCATGAAGATGGCTTTCAAGTATGAAAACCACCGCGTGCCCGTTCTTCCATCCCTGTCGGATGGGGGGTGCACAACTGTGGGCTCAAACACATCTTCATCGTCCTCCTCAAGCTTGCCGTTTGTGGCAGAGACAGGCGTGGGTGTGGCTGAGGGCTGGCCAGACTCTTTACCTGCCTCATGCATGTCATGGCCAACGAATTTCCTGGGCTTTTGAGGATCAGATACGATGGCTGGGTTACTGTTGGACCCATTAGAACCATAGGACCCACTGCCTGTGGACAGTGGTTCCAGTGCTCCACCTCCACAGCTGCCGTTCATGCCATTCTGGCTGTTGCTGGGCACCTTTTCAGCATTCTGGGAGGTTCCCGGCATTATGTCAAACCCATTCTGCGATGCTGAAGCACTGGACACCAGGTTGTCAGGGACTGGCTCGGGGACGCCAGGGGCCACACCAGGGCCATCTGCAGTCCCCTCTGGCGACTCCACACCTGAACTCCCGGCCTCCGCCCTCGCCTGCATGAACATCTCTGCCGTTTGTGCTCCAAGATCCACAACCTCCTTTGCGAGTCCCTGCAGCATGTCGTCATCCACATCGCCCCCACTGTCCCCCCTGCCGTCTTCTCCTTGCTTGATCCCAGTGGCAGTCTCTGCCACAGAGACAGCAGCCAGAACTTCCTCAAATGTCATGCCGCGTTTGACCATCAGCGCCCCTTTGCACAGAACGAGGATGTCTTGCTGACCATTATATGCTGGATTCCTCTTCAAGAACGCCTCTGGCGTGGTTGTGACCAGGCCTACCATGGCTTCCTCGCCACCAATCATAGGCCCAACCACCCCAAGAAACTCTTTGGCGTCCGCGGCCTCCTCAAACAGGATCACTTTAAAGTCCTTCTCTCCCGCCAATGGCGACAAGTTGAGCTGGACATGTCCACCGCTATCTTCTGGCTGCTTGATCATTGGTACGTGTAACTCATGCAAAGACAGCCACCACGATGGCTTGCCGCGCTTTGCACCTGCATTTTGAAAAGACTCAGATTCTGGTGCTCCAATTGAACCTTCAGAACCCTGCCCTGTTCCATTGCCAGACAGCAAATCACTGGCCTCAGCCTCGCTATCTCTCCCCCTTGAAGTGTCCATCTCTTCAGAGGCTTTCGAGCTTGAGGTATTCAGGCCTCCATCCTCGAAATCTAGTGCATTCTCATTCATCCCTCCGACAGGAAATGCGACCGACGAGCCAGAGCCACTTCCTTCCCTCTCTCTTGACCTTGCCTTGAACCTGTCAACTATCTTGCCCTTCTGTGCCCTTATCTGTGCAGCAAACACAGATGGACCTCCTGGTTTGCTTGCCATCCCACTCCCGTCTTCCTCCGTTGTGCTGCCAGCTACGCCATTATCTGGTGATGTGCTGGTTGCCTGTTCCGGCACCACAGAATCGGGCAGGCGTTGCTGGCTGCCATCTTCTGTGGAGCCTTGCAGTGGCACATGCGAAGAAGGGTCCTCCTCATCTGGGCCTGGGACATCTGTTATCTGCTCAGAGCGATCCGTGCTGCTGTCGATCGCGATGGGCACTGCATTGCGTGAAACATGCTGCTGCCATTCCTCACTGGTGCACACCTGTCTGATGATCTGTGTCACAGCTTGTGTATCCTTCAGTTTCTTCACTGCTGATGCTGACAGAGTCCCTGCCGGAACCACGCTGCCCTGGAGCCCCTTCCTCTCCAGCAATGCTTGGAACTCCTTTGGTGACATCCAGGTGATGTCCACGCCTTTAGACCACACCTTCGGGTCACTGGGTCTGACGCCGTCCGGGAGCCTTGAATCGAACCAGCCAAGGGAGGGGTTGGCTGCCACATGAGCTTCGTATGGATCCTGGGCAGACAGGAAATCAGCCAAGCCAATATGCGTTGTGCTACGTTTGCCTTCACAAAAGAAAGTAGAGTGCTTGCACCTTGCAGGCAAGACATGAGACTGATGAACAAGGTATGTTTGCTGGATGCCGCAAACGGGAGCAGACAAGATGGACAGGAAGTTACAGAAATTTTGTTTCCTACACTGCACTATGTCACAGACCAGCGGCAGCAGACCAAGATACATGAGTTGATCTACAAAGCCGATTATTGCCCACACTGTGGGCACCTGCACCAAGGAGAATGCCCCAGAACATGGGCAAAAGAAGCTCCACATGTTCCCCCTGTGCATCTGGTAATCAGCAAAACTTTGTTGCAAAAGTCGATTGCCATTCAATGCTGTGTAAATCCACTGTTTCACCCTTAGAACAAGCATCACATCAGGAACCCCGGGCAAAGAAGGAGAAAACAAATAGGGGATACAGGACACTCCAAGGTAGTGTGGCCAGACATTGTCGCACTGACTGGCTTCTGCACCATCAACTGCAGTGTCGCAAACAGTCCCACAACAATATCGCTCAGGAAGCATTTGCCCACTGTATGCCATGCCCCCTTATTGTTGGAAGGTATTTCTCCACCAGCACATCCTTACCTCAAAGCCGATCACTGTGTACCGTTCTTCACGGCTCAATCCCAGGTCTACCATGTACAGGGCATGGCCGGCCTTCATCCGCAGCACACAGATGTATGGCAGCTCGATCCACCACTGTGGGGTCACACCCTCCCCAAGCTGCTGGGTGCCTTCACCCTGGGAACCTACTGGGCCACCGCCTTCTCCCACAATTTCTGCACTGCCTAATGTGTTGCGCGCCATTGGGATAGCTTGCACCTCTTCATCATCTTTCTTGGATGTCTTGATGAAGACCTCCTCTGGCAATCCATATAGAAGGTTGGTGTTTGCAAATGTACACAGCTACCCTTGTCACCAAGGTGTATTGCTAGCTAATTTACCAGTGGATGAAAGGGGAGATGTCCAAAATCCTTGCGCATCACAAATCCATTCACTGTCCAAGATGGAAACATGGTGGAATGAACCGGTATGCAGAGCATCACCTTTGAGCATGAAGACCAAAAACTGCATGCAGCAAATGACGATCTTTTCCCTTCCTCCATTATCCAGTGACAGCTTTGCTGACTACACAAGGAGTTCAGAAGCTTCACACTCTATTTGCCCACATCCAAACTGATAAAATGCTGGCAACTTCAATAGTCACAAGCACAAGCAGCACATCATTACATAGACACAGTTTACCATATTTCTGATAGAGATAGGAGCAGTTGGGGATGACTCACTGCGAATGCACGCAATGCTCTGCACCATCTAATTAGTATCTGGGCATGATTTGCAAATGCTGGGGAATGCTATCAAAGGATTTGCATCCAATTTTTCTGGAGGGAATAGGCAGCAACAATAATATCCCAACTTTGCCCTTGCAATCCATGCACGACAAAGCAGAAGTTTCTGATCGCAGGATCATCTGACTGGTGATGGGTTGCGTCAGGACTTGCACTAAGTCTATAGGACCTGGTTTATGCTTGTTGACATCACAAAGTTGTAATATTTGACTTGAGCTTGTTGTGTAAGGTTGACATATTTCTGCTAAGTATGCATTCATTCAGGCCCACCAGATTCGGCCAGGTCGCCCAAGCCAGAAATCTTGAGTGCCTCTCTGATTTGCTCCCTCTTGCCAGACTCCATCTTGATGAACATCAGTTTTCCAAATGCGCCTCTCAGTCTCCTCTCGGATTTCTTGTCCATGGGTTCAAGACCACGCGCATCATGGATGGCACGGACAGTGCCTATGACATCTTTGACCTCATCGTTCACCTCCTTCCACAATTCCCCAGTGCCCCTGTGGCAACACACCATTGATGCACTCTGTCCCATGCACAGAAATCTTCGTTCGCTACTGCTGTTGACAAAGGTGAACAGGCACCACATCCAACCATTGCATGATCTCAGGAATGCCACTTGCTGGCACCAAACATGCCAAGGCAACAACATCTCTTCTGCTAGGATGGGAGTGGCAGCTAGATTTTCAAGCGCGACGTACTATCTGAAATGTCAAAACACAATGTCTGTTTCGAAGTATGCCACTGTGGCATTGCAGTGATGTTGCTCCTCTACATTTGTTCCCTAAGGTCCCAACCCCTGCCCTGCCTCTTTCATGACACAGCTCGCAGACTGAAACTATGCACATGTCCTCCAGGTGACTGGAAGTGCCACAGATTTTGAGATAATCTGCTGTGTGGTAAGATCTTACCTCTTACTTCACAGCGCTTTCAAGGCAGGATCATAGATGGGCAGTTAACTCAGGGCAGCATTGGAAAAAGCGATGAAACGACTGGTGGCATAGTTTTCCTGCCCGACCCCAACCATATTCTTGGGCCCAACAAGGGGATGAGTTTCAATGTTGTGGGCAGACTTACAGATTTCAGCATGGGACACAGGAACACCACATTCTTGTGGTCATACTGCACGCAGACTGCTTACAGTGGCAGCCCTCTCCCTGTGCCTGCATATAATTGACTCAACGCATACCTCTGTGTGTCCGCAGCTGTCGACATTCCGCAACTCGAGTAGATACAGGGCACCAATGCTGCCAAACAAGCATCTCGATGAAAAGTTGCATTCACAAGTACTGTCCCACAACACTGCCAGACCACTGAGGATGATATATATTATCCCAGCGACTATCGACACCAAACGCAACGCCCTTCTTCACTGTCCTTCTTTTCCATCGTTTGCACCACACCATAATTTGGAGCATTTCACTGTGCAACACCACAGGTGCAACACTCACCGAAACAGCAACAGGTAGACAAGACTAACGCCACCTCCAATGAGAAAGGCCGGAAGCAGCATCCCTCCAATATGTCTGGGGGCCAAAGAGAACAGTCGTGGTTGCATCGATGGCTGACATGGGTGGGGGCTTATCACTCAGGAACTCCAATAGACGAGTCGGGCTGCGATGGTCACAAATGACAGAAAGACTCCGGAGCACAAGTTGCTGGCAACATATTGCCACATCTTACTTCATGCAGTACTAGGGCACAATGTCAACTTTGAAATGTTGGCTGGGCTGCGCCATGGGTGTAGCTCTTTTCTAATTCCAAATATCACAACCAGTTAAGAGTCCAGGTGCCACACCTTCCTGACAGAAACAGATGTGGGGACGGTGAGACCCCACAAGAAATGCCACGGATGCCACAGTTTCATGTGTGTTTGCAGTTTTGAGAATGCCGTCAGCCCAGCAACTGCACAGAACATTCACCTGGAGTCCTCAACCCATTGGCTCTGGGGTTTGGAGATTATTGGTTGGCCAATGGACTCGTCCAGCTCCCAACTAAATTGTTCTGTCTCCCCGTTTGCAGTCTTGCCTTTGATCGGCATCTCCTCGACTTCCTTCGCAATCTTGTCCTTCATCGGCGCGCCGCCATCACTGTCAAGACATGCCAGCACCCCAGTCAGGGACAAGTGCCCATCTGCCCACAGGGACATCGTTGCGCGTTCCTTCCTCAGAATTTGGACATCTTCGTATCTGCTCCTCTTATCTGAAACAATGTCTCAACAATATTACTGGGAATGTTACCAACTGCACGATCTATTTTTCTCATCACACCGGGCCATGCATGGCAGATGATGCGCATTTGGATCAATTCCCCGGTGCAGATGCACGCCTGTCAACGCCTGAAAAGCGCAAGGCCTGCATTTTACACCGCCTGTGAACAAACGTCATCAATGGAATGCGTCCCTCACCACCGATCATGACCCAACAAAGCCCACAGCCTGCGACAGGCTACCCCATGGCGCTGCGCACCGCAGACCGTACCTATTCCCGTCCTCCCGAGCTTTCTTGCCCCAGCCGAAAAGAGACCTCGCCGCAACGCCGCCGCTCCGTTTGGGACCCCAGCGACACCGCCGGCTCCCAAGCCCGCCCCACTCAATGCGCCGTGCCCTCAGGCGCCAGAAGTGGCGCGCTCCGACAGGCCAACGACCGCTTTCCGCCGCCTTGACATGCGTCCGCGGAACCCCGCCGATCGCGCGCCGTCCAAAAGACATCGACACCGCGCCACGCCGGTGGGCGGCCCACCCCGCCATAGTGGGCGCAACCCACACGCAGCACTATACTCGGGAGGGGTAGTCAGTTCCCGATACACACCATACGGAGACCCGAGACGTTTGAATACCAAAATCTAACCTAAAACACTAAGCCCTAAACCCTAAAAAAACACACAATCAAGTGCTGAAAACGCTAAAAAAACAAACGTTAAACTCTCAAAGCTAGTGTGGCGGTAACCCACGTACCTTAGCCGCCAAACGGATGCAGACCAGGCCTGTCCTGCTGCAGAGCCGTAATTGCCGGACCAGCCTTCACAACGTGCTGGTGGGCACCAAATGCGGTCCCAATTGTTGGGAAACACCGCGGTCGCCTCCTTCCCCGCAGGCGAAACGGGATGCGGCACAGACACACACACACACATACTGTCCGCGGACAGTCCGAAATCAGAGTCACAAGCACAGCAGCGATGGTGGGCCCAGAAAGAGTTGTTACAAGAATGTTCTGCGCGTATTTATACTCGAAAAAGGGTGTCCCAGTCCCCAGTCCTAGCCACCGTTCGAGAAGCCTCCCGAGCTGCAATCCCCCGTACAGACCCCCCTGATCTTGTCCCCAAACGTCTCAAGTTCTCCAACACCGGTTCCCAGCCTGGTACAACCTATCATACACTCCATACAACTGGCTCAATTCAGTCCCCAGCAAGTGATTCCAGTCCCATGCAATCATGCTCAGTTCTAAGTACGTCCCTCCATGACGATCCAGTACTCGAATCAATCATAGCAGTAAAACACGATGAAGTCGGAATACCCGCTGGTGCATTCCTTAGTCCCAGCCTTGACACTCCATCAAAACGAACGTACACAACTAAAATGGCTTACTGATGACGAATTCCCGGCTCAGTTCTCCACTCCCGGCTCAGCTCTCCATTCCCGGCTCAGCTCTCCATTCCCGGCTCATTTTCATGTAAGGGGGTCGTACATTGGGGCTTGCGGCAAGGGCAGCTCTCTTCAGGTGGACTCCTGGACAATGCAATGGAACAGGACAATTAGTACGCCTTTAATGTACTAATTCTGGGCCGTGCTCAGCAACTCAAGCAAGGTTGCAGCAGATCAGATCAACCAATCAAACAACTAATAGTACACAACCTCAACCTGGTCATCTCAGTAGGGGTACTTAGAAAATCGCCACACTAGCGCTAAAACGCCAAAATCCTTAAAAAATCCCAACGCCTGCAATCCTAGCCCGTCTTCGTCACAGTCTCCGCATGCATGGTCTGTATCGGGACACCTTCCCAAAGTATTCGGACAACGGCATTTGTGCACGATCAGCCGTCTGTTTGCTCCCAATGGTGGTGCATCGCGGCAAGCACTGGTGTCTCACACCCTGACTGTGCAAGGGCGGGCAGTAAGCTTAGTACTCGGTACCACACCCAAGCAGGGGGCGACTCAAACGACATGCTTGCAAGGGAAACGACAACAGCTTCGGCGCAGCCATGTCGCAATCAATTCCCTATCGTGCAGTCAGACCATTCTGCCAACATGGCATCCGATCGTCGGATGATCCAACAAGTTGAGATGAGAATCAACGAAATCAGCTCGGCACCTCAAACGAGCGTGCCCCAATACAGCGTGTTGACAGTGGTATGTATTGTCATCGACAATCACTTCTTGGCATTAGGAGTCAGTACTTTGTTTGTGTTTAGCATTTGATTCCAATGAACTCATCACACACACTGCTTTGCTCGGCCAAAATAGGAAGCTGACGGCTGCCTGATTGCCTTGTTCCGTAAAAACGAGGAGGAGGAGGACATCGGCAACCAGCAAGATTCGAAGAATTCAGTGTGTCCATTGTTCTATTGATATCTTTCCCCAATACTGTACATTGTACAGTGTACAATATTAAACCCTTCCGCATAGTAACGTAACGCTTGGCCTTTTTTTGCAGAGACAATAATATAAATAGTAACGCAAATCTTGGCCTTTTTCTGCGGAGCAACGTAAAAAATGTTACAACAAGGCTCAGAAAACGAACTGCGGAGCAAAAGTCGTAACGGTGAAATTTTCTGATGCGGAAGGGTTGAATATTTTGCAGTACTGACCCACCACGTGAAAGCCACGTGGGTCTGCCACGTCTGCACCACACTCGCCACTGGGCGCAAAGGCAAAGACCCGTCGGGCAGCGCAGCACGGCACGGCCCCACCGCCGCGAGACAAGGTGCGGCGGCTGCTCAACGCCGAGAGCTGGATCGCCGTGTGGGAAAAAACGCTCACCTGATCTTGAGGTCTCTCGAACGCTACCAACGGCGGGAGTGGTGTTCAGGCGCCTTGAAGTCTATCACGCTGGCCCAAGAAGGGATTCGGACTTCGGTAGAGCTTCAGGGACTGGCCGCAGTTCAACGGGAGAGACAACTATGGAGCGCCTGCGGCGCCTCGCTGCTCACTTCCTGCCGGTTAATCGGCCAAAGGTGGGCGGGGCGTCGTCTGGGAAGTACGCATCGCGGTGCTCTGGTTTCGCGGCGTGGATGAGGCCGAATTGGGCAGTTGAGGATGCGCTTTTGGACTTTGGCATGGCAGCCATCAGCCTGCGGAGACCCGCACCACCGTGCGGCTCTGCTTGTAGTCTAAGCGGAATGAATCTTTTGCGATCCAGTTCCGTTTCAATCAATACGCCACAAAACCTTGCGTCCCGGCCGATCAATTTCGGCTTGTTGGCGTTCGGCCCAGACACATCAACCAGTGCCACAACTGCGCCCAGCGGCTGTCGCACAGGCGCTGCCAATTGTTTTGTTTGCTTAGCTGCTGGATTCTTAAATGCAGTGAGTGGAAAACGAGGACAACCGCGGGTGGGTGAACACTGATAGCTGCTGCCGTCGAGCAAAAGAACTATTCACCGTAGTAGTTGAGGGCGTTTTGAAGCAAGTCAAGGCGAATTAAGCGTTGCTGATTTTGTCGTCTCTCCTCGCACCTGGACTTGCAATAAAGGACAACATAATTGAGTGCTATGAGCACTTGCTGCTGATGGGCTTCGTGCACATCTGCTCTGATTGCAGTACATCTTGGGTGCTCGAGAGACAACCACAACCCAGCAACGGGGAGCCGTCACAAATAGAATAAAACGGCTTCGAATGTGGAGCATCCTAACAGAGCCCATTAATTTGTTGTGGGGAGCCCCCACCCCCCCTTTGTGCCTTCCTTTGTGTCATTCGGCTTTGTTTCTTGTGAAGGTGAAAGTGATGTCCGTCCCACTAGTGCACACCCTCCCCAAATGTAGGAAGCAGGCAACCGAAAGTGCTGCTGCTGTGTGGATCCTAGACATTTGTACAGCGTCACTGGTGTGAGATGCTGTCTGCATTTCTCACTTACCCCCCCTCCAGTTAAACTGTCTGTTGAAGTGCATATCATGCAAACATCCTCCAAAAGTCATGCCCTGCTTGAGCTTTGTGTCATCGCAACTGCCCTGGTCGCGATTGACAAAGCACTGCTCTTGGACTTTCAAGGAAGGATAGGCACTGCCACACTTTGACAATTATGCCCCAAATGCTGGCACCTTTTCTCCATCTCAAACCCAAGATGGCAGACCAAAATTAGCATTCCTCTGCCTGCATGTTGTGCGGAGTACAAGTCCACACAATGGCCTGATCCTCCAAGCAGGGACATTCTGTTTCATCTTCTGCATTAGCAGTTTCCACTACTGACACAAATCCTGTCTGCTGCTGTTGTTCATATTACGCAGAGTTTTGCACAAAGCTGCAGTGTGCATCCATCCACAGCGAGGAGATCTCAACAAGCAACACTCTGTCAGACAATGTGCCACCTGCATAGAGCAATGGCAGAATTGCACCACTGCACAAGCACCATCCGTGCTGTATATCCACTACCTTGGATCTGTTCCCCACAATGGTTGCAGCCTTCTCCACCAAAACAAACTATGGAAAAGTGAAACCTGCCTTGATGCAACAGCATCCCCACTTCACAACACACCTAACCACCCCCATGCTCTTGCCCCTGAGAAAGTATTGAGCCAATGTTCTCAGGGACACAAGAAATAGACACAGCAAGGCAGATATAGCAAGGAAGGTACAGCATGGTACCTGGCCAGTTTCCAACATGCGATACTGTAGTATGTTGGAAACCTGTGACAGTAGTCCACCCTTGTCTGTTTGAATTCTCCTGTCACAGTGTTCTTATTCACGCCTTGGCGCATCTGTGGAACTCCGGTCCTTCTTTTTAAAGAAGGACCAGTGACCAGGGACCACATATGCTCTGGTGGTTTAGAGTTCACAATGCGCCCAAACGACCATTCTCAGCCAGACATCTTGCGTGAGAATTTCCTGCCTTTCTCCCCAGAAGTGGCAACAATAATAAGAAACCCTTGGAGCTATCAGTTGGCTACTGGTAATTGGTGTTTCTGGCGTTCGCTCACCCGGCCTCGGGGATGCTTCCAATTGCTCAGTCTTTCTGCTGACTCCCCCTGGTCTTTAGCAGTTCGCTCACCCTAAACCCCAGAACAGAACTACGGAAAGAGTTTGGGTTTCGTCAGGAGCCTCGGGAGCTACCGTATTTCGGGCTGTTCCGCACGCCCCTGGTAACTTATCCGAAGGGCCACAGCGGCCCTCTGGCCGAATCCCCATACCGAAACGTTCTCCGCCAATGGGGCACGCGGACCCGATAAAGCGGCCACGGGGTCCCATTTTTGCCCTGTTTGCACCCCCGACCTGGCCGACCTGGCCGACCTGGCCGACCTGGCCGACCTGGCCGACCTGGCCGACCTGGCCGACCTGGCCGACCTGGCCCTACTAATTACCCTCCGCCCATGGGCCACGCGGCCCTGGTGAAGCGTCCGCGGGGTCCCGTTTTACCCCCAACGAACGGGGACCAACGCCATCCCTCTCGCCAGGGCCCCCCCCCCGCGACACAAAGCGCACAGGCCCGCCGCACACGCATCTGGTCACCGCAGCGCACGCACCACCCAGGCGCCCCCCGTCAGCCGCTGCGTCTTGGAGCACTCGCTCCCCACTTCGCGCACCGACGCCCATGGCAAGTGGTCGTTTGGATGGATGCGTTCGCGCCGGCACCATTGACGGCGTCCCCGCCGTGGGTTGTCGTTTCGGGTAGCCCGCTCTGTGCCGGTCTGTGGGATTGCTGCTAGTGATCGAATCGTTGATCTGGGGCCCTTGGACAGGGGGGGTCGACCTGGACTTGCGAACTCTCGGCCAGGCCCGCGCCCGCCCTCCGGGTGCCGCGCGGCGCCGTTTGATCTCCGACGCCGCGGCGAACTCGTTTGATCGCGCCGCAAGCCCTCGCGGAGCTCATGCGCGCGTCTTCGCGCATCGAACCGCGTTGTGTGGTGACGCTCCCTGCCGCGACGCGCGAATGGATGGCGCGCCGATTGGGGGCGCCCGTCCGGGGATCTGGCTGGCGTGGCCTGAGCTGCGCGTCGCTTGTGGACGGGACCTAACGCAGGGAGCCCGTTTTGGCACCAGGGGCATGGAGGACAATGGTGTGGCGACTGTCGATCAGGGTGCTGGCTGGTGTCGTCTGGTTGGCATGGTTCGGCATTCGATGGGGGATGATTGATTGAATGTTGGATGACGGATTCGCCAGTGCCGCAGACATTTTGTTGAAATCGTCATTTCCTTAGTAGATAGCTACCATGAACCCAACCAAAGCTGGTGAGAAAGGGGCGAGAGTCAGGGAAAACGACCACAGGAGTATTGTACAGCCTCATCAGATTCCTTGAATTTCTCTTTGGTCGATTCATCCGACTTGGTGTTTGTAAAATTTACTCAGGAAGACAATCACAACTTTGCTGGAAATTTTCATATCAAGAGTTGAGGCTGTTGTGTCATGTATGGCATGGTTAGGTCAGGATGAGTATTCTGACTTTGTGCAAAGTGGCAAAGTAATCAACGATGTTGTTTGCTGCTGCTGTGATCGCTGGAGGCATCTTCCAACACCACATAACCGCATGATAGAGTGGCGTCAGCATCTGGACACTTGAACGCGATGCGGTATTTTGGACAGAATATAGACAAAAGTTTGCACCTTCAAAGCGAAATGGCCACAATTCCATACTCAGCATGTCCAGGATGTGACGTTTGGGGAAGAAACCATTGCTGTGAGTTGCAACAGAAATTCTATGTTTCCTGGTGCCACAGGCATTTGAGACCTACGGAATTTAGACATGTTGCTCAGAATATTGGCCGACACATATTCTGAATGGTTGGACATTCTCTCTGCTAACAGCAACATCTTGAACATAAATACTGCAAATTGCCTACACAAAAGTGACCCCTTGGCTATTATCTGTGGCAGGCAACAGTTGCCGTGCTTGGCGCGGCGGGCGGCATCGGCCAGCCCGTGGCCCTGCTGCTCAAGCTCAACCCCTTGATAGGCGACCTGAGGCTGTACGACATCGTCAACACACCAGGCGTGGGCGCTGACCTGTCACACATAAACACGGGTGCAAAGGTGACAGCCTTCATGGGGGATGCCCAGCTGTGTGATGCCCTTTCCGGGTGCGACCTGGTCATCATTCCTGCAGGTGGGGGGCTGCAAGTGAGTGTGACTGTACACTTGGAGATTAATTGTTGTTGATAATTATCAAACTGATATAACATGTGGGACTGCAATCATGCTTCAGAGGAACGATGGTGTGTCAGGCAATGTAGTGGACTTGTCAGTATGCTGAGCATTGTTTGCCCTGGCACTGGAAGCCAGGTTCCCATTGTTGGAGGGTAAAGCTACCTTGTCAAAGCGATGAAGGGGCCCTGCGGGTGTGCTCTTTGACCAAGTCCCACACCCCAAATCTGCAACTCAGCGGAGCTCTGAACAAAATGACAGTAGGCTCAAGCGAATTGTGCAATCATTGAGCACTCTGCTTGCCAGATGAGCAAAAATGAAGGTGCAGTCTGTGCTGAACTGTGCTTTTTGTGATTTCAAATTCTCCCACTATTACCTCGAGACGCATTTCTGATTGAGAAACTTAACCTTGTACTTTGCAGGGAGACAACAAAGGCAGGCACGGATTGTTTCCGGATATGGGTGGCACCTGATACCTTGAGTGTGGTGCAAAGGTGTTGGTGGCTCAAAAATCAGAACCTTTCGCTCACTCAATCCTGTACCTCCCAGTGCAGCATCTCACAGCCTCATGGTGTTGCGCTGTCTGCAGGCGTCCCAAGGAAGCCAGGCATGACCAGGGATGACCTCTTCAACATCAATGCAAAGATTGTGAAGACCCTCATCGAGGCTGTTGCAACGTATTGCCCAAATGCATGGATTGGAATTATCTCCAACCCTGTTAACAGCACAGTGCCAATCGCGGCGGAGGTGCTTAAGCAGAAAGGTGCGGGCACAGTCCTTCACTTTCCTACTTCCCCTGTTGAAAATTGCACTACACTTGTGACCATGCTTGTGGTTAGCAATTTGTGACAATTTTTTCGGGGGATGCTGCCAGCATCCTGGATCTAAACCAGCAATAATTCTAGAATGCACTCTGGATACCAGCTGCTGCCCTGTGCTAACTTGTGGTGTTGTGGAATCACAAGCTATCACATCTGAATTCGATGAGCAAATATGCCCTTGCAGTGAATATTCAAAATACTTGAACAATATTACAAGTATGTTGCAGAAACCTAATATTCTTGTGTAAACCGAAACTGGAGAGGTCCAGAAGCTGCAAATGTGCTGCCTTGTCTTGTTTGGACAATTGCGGTTCAAGGAATCCCACTGGGGAGCACTGGCTGGCATGCAGATACTGCTGGTAGAGTGCGCGCAACGTGTTTTCAACGGCATCAGATAGCCAGTACATGACCGCTGAATCACCTCATCACCAGACAAGGCGCTTTGCGATTGCCCTGGTTCCAAGCTGTGCACAGCAGGCTGTCTAAACACTGCTATGTCTGAACACTGCTTCTGAAACTTCTGCAGGGCCATTGTGTGCGTGCAGCAGTCTCTGTTTGATAACACCATGTACTTAAGAACACAACATATGACTCGATAGTGGTGTGCCCAAGATCATTGATGGCGACACCTGTCTGGAATCATTTCAGTAGAACGACAGCAGGAATGGCTTCAGTTTTGTTCCAAGGTTCATTGTGTGGCATCTGCATGTGCAGATCAGAACAGTGTTTGATCCCCCAAACAGACAATGAAATGCTGTGCGTGGGCCTGTGGCGACAGTGAGGCTTTGCACTGTGTTGACCTCTGTTCGTTTATTCCTGGCAGGGGTCTACGACCCGCTGAAGCTTTTCGGGGTCACGACACTCGATGTTGTTCGCGCAGAGACCTTTGTTGCAGAGATCTTGGGGGTAGACCCCAAAGACGTGACTGTACCAGTTATTGGTGGGCACGCGGGAACGACCATCCTTCCCTTGTTGTCCCAGGTGGGAACAATTCAAAATGACACATGCACCAGCTCATGATTGACTATTGTTAACAGCAGTGGTCTGTGTACAGGTTGCTGAAAATGATCATTAGCTCTGTATTGTGTGTAAAATTGAGACAAAATCATCATTGCAAGTTCTGGACTGTCTTTCACTGGTTAGGTGCTGTTTTTCATTGGTTGGTGCTGGGAAAGGTATAGGATTTTTGCCCGTGTCAGGGCACTGGTAGCATCCGGAGGGGTTTTGATGTGAGCTTTGTACCTTAATCAGCACTCATGGATTTCACCACACAGACAATGGAGGGTCCAACAGCATGTTGAGAGGTCCTCACCAGCATGGTATAAGTTATGTGTGTGTGAAGCTCTGTGCCAGAGAGCGATCTTCGGACAGACAAGCAACTGTGCCGAAATGATGGACGAATTTGGTTTTGTGTCTTGGCTTATTGTGTAGTGTCTTCAGACGACAGAATGTAGGATTGCAAAGTGTCTCATTACAGTTCAATGTTGTCCCACCAAACCACTTGCTCTGAAGGACTTTGCAATGCACTTTGAAACTGGAAAGCTGACCATACGCTCCCTTCAAAGGAGCATGCGGTGGGTCCTTGTCCGCTTTGACAACCAGGTCCCCAGAGGGGTACCGTTGTATGTCTTGTCACTGTGTTGAATTGACCACTTTTGACATCGATGGCCGTACTGTCGCCATCTGAAGTCTCATCTGGTGTGTCCCACCGCAGGCCATGCCAGCCCTCAGCTTGGACGATGACAAAGCCAAGGCACTGATGGATAGGATACAGAACGCTGGCACAGAAGTGGTCAATGCAAAGGCAGGCGCTGGGTCAGCCACGCTGTCCATGGCCTATGCAGCCTCAGAGTTTGCCGACGCATGCCTGAGGGCCCTCAATGGTGACACAGGGGTTGTCCTGTGCACCTATGTAGCGTCTAATGTGACAGACCTCCCCTTCTTTGCCAGCCCGGTATGTGTTCGTGTTCTGTTGTTCATAAAGGAGCATTGTGACAACATATAGTACAGCCTGCAATAGTTCCAATGTAGGTGTGCAGCTGGGTCCCATATGCGGATATGCTGCCAAAGCCAGTCCACGTGGACCAGATCACCTGGTGCTCCAAGACACTGATGCTCACCTCAGATCAGTGGTTGGAAGGACCACAGTTCAAAGTAATCCACACGCCCCACAGCAGCCCCCCAGAACAACTCGAAGGACCAGAACCAATGTCAGGTCCAAGACACCCTGTGCGTTCCTCAAATGTGTCCCACTCATCCCCCCAACCCCAAATTGCAATTGATCTCGATCGGCAACATTGCAGACTAGCCAACTGTCGAATAAACTGTCAAATATGTAAATACATAAATATGTAATACGTAATATATAAATATGAATATATATATATATATATACATATTTATAAAATATAAATTTACTGTCAACAGCTGTCGAAAATAGCTGGAATCGAGCTGGCCATGTGTCTTGCTTTTCATGGCAGCAGGAGCAAGAAGTTGAACAGTCCGCCATTTGCTCCACAAGTCGACTATATTGCAAAAGGTGCACATAGCAAACTGCTATTTTTCTTCATTGGCTTGCATCCAGTGTGAGTGCTGGAAAGTGTCAGGTCTCTGCCGCTTGCTGGCAGGTAGCCTTTAAACACATGCACAGAATGTCTCCAATGGACTGTTCGCGCAGTCCTTCTCGACATCGCAGTAAACCAGAGTCCTACATTGGATCCATTTGCAATGCGCTGTGCTGCTTTTGCTCCAGGTGAGGCTGGGCAAGGGCGGTGTGGAAGAGTTCCTGCCAATCGGGGAAATGAACAAGCTGGAGCAGGAAAACTTTGAGGAAATGAAAGGGCAGTTGGCGATCAACATCAAGAAGGGCGTGGATTTTGTGACTGGCGGATGAAACACATTTGTGGGCATAGGGCTGCTGGTGTGGCAGTTTAACAGCGCAGATGAGGAGACATTCAGTAAGGGCTTGATTGCGGAGCTGTGCTATCGCCCAAGGGGTGCTGCACACTGTGGAGTGTACAGGGCAAGGGGGCTCCCTGCCATTCGACTGTTGGGCTTGTGGGGCATGTAAGGTTCTCATCTGCTGTTTAAGCCTTGGTTGATTGATGGCGTAGTCGCTTGGATGACCATTGCATGCGAGTCCTTGTTGATCAGTTTGTGTCAAAATATGACTATACGCCGCCCTTCTGGCCATCAGGTGATGGATGTCTAAAAGATTGATCAGAGGTTCAGGAGAGGGAGCTAGCTGCTTCTATTTCGCGGCTGTCCCTTCCACTCCGGTACCTTTCTAAAGGCAGAACAGCAGCAACGACCTCATTGCAACTATGTTTCCACTGATGCCACCAATATTGCCATCCATTAGTTGTGTCCCTTTGTTCTACGCGAGCAGGAAGCCCATTTCCAACTTTCCAAAGCTCCCAGATCGCCAATGACCATCACGTGAACCTGTTCTTGTGCCATGAAGACCACTCTCTTGAGCTCCCAGATCGCCAATGACCATCACGTGAACCTGTTCTCGTGCCACGAAGACCACTCCCTTGAGCTAGCGTGCTCCAATCTGCGTGCGTCGATTCGCAATGTTCTGTGGCAACACGCAATGCTGATCAATTGCTTGGCTGACATAGCTCTTAACATGCCTGGGGATTCAACGACGAATTCACGACTCTCCCATCGGTGGAGTTCGGTTCTCGGCAACAATTCAGTGATAAGGCATTCAAATCGAGTGTTGTGCGCATTCGTACAAGTCCTTCCTCGACTGTGTGTGTTCCACGGGCCGCAGACAGTGCTTTTTGCAGGCCACCATCACGCAGACACAGCTATTGTGCGTGGAATTGTCCATCAGTGCATCCGATTCCCATTCTGCATGGATTGTGCCTGGCATGCTACATTCTGGGGGACGTTCTCAAGCGCTCATGGTCATCGGAGCTGTCGTCGAAGTTCCAGACCTGCACGGAGGTTTTCTCGCTTCCACCCATCGCGAGACGCCTGTCATCTCTTCAGGTGCGCCTCCGCAGACAACTGTGCCGCGGTCGCTTCTGCGAGCTGCAGACCTTCCAGGAGTGCACGAAGCGCAATTGTCTGTGTAGGCAGACCCTCACATGGCTGCGGGGGCCGTGCTTTCCTTCCTAGTGCCCGTGGTCAGGATATTGATGGATGCTCTGATGACGCATCGCCCCCGAAATGCGCCGTGCTCGTAGCCTCTATCCACTGCGACGTTCGAAAAGGCGGGCCATTTCTTTGACAGATCTTCTGACCTCCGCTTGGGGAGCCTGAAGAAACGGAGAGCTCCAGCAATACGGCCATTTATGAGCATGCTGATGCAAGATTATACACCTGCTACTGCGGCATGGGACAAAAGGTGTTGATGCACGGATAATTTTGTTGCAGTTCCGAGACATTCGTTTTGATGCTCTTGCTATAAGTTACCATATCGCACCAATTTATGTTACTTAACATACTAGTAGTATATGTACACATGTGCATAATTCAAATGTTTACAATGTTGAGGTTGATAACAATTGTGAAGCCGAGGAACATATGGCGGATAATTACAAGGGTTCTCATATTTATAATGGTCTTATCTTATATTATAAGCTGGGAACGCGGCCTCGGAAATGAATTTTTTAGTCTGACTCGGCGTTCTTGTGTAAGAATCGACCCGTGACATGGAGGTTACGTGAGTGGCGGGGCTCTCCCAGTCGGTTGCCGTGTGCATGCGTTCCCGGGTGGGCCGGTGGCTGTGCTCGAGGGCGGCCGGCGGGAGGCGCGCAGCTATCGGTGCCGCGGCTGCCGGGCACCGTGTCCACTTGCGCTCGAGGCGCATTTCCTGGCGCGATCCCGTGCCGTCGCGGCGGTCTCGGAAAGTCGTGGGTCTGGATGTGGTAGCGATGGAGTGGTGGGAGTACGACAAGGGGCCTCGCCGAAGAAATAGTATTACTGCCTGCACGAAATCGGTGATTGCTGGCACCAAATCACGTGAACACTATGTCCTAACCTCAGTTTTAGGGTCATGTTTAGTTTTAGGGTTAGACTTAGGCTTAGGGCAGGTTTAGTTTTAACGTTTAGGGTTTAGGTTTCAGTTTAGGTAAGTTTGGGAGGGAGTTGGTGCAAGCAGTGACCGATTTGGTGCAGCCAGTAATTGTATGCCCCTCGCCGAACCGGGTGCCGCTTCCAAAGCACAACGGGGTTTAGAGGAGCGGCTTTCTGAAGCCGTTCCCATGGCGCCCAGCACCTGACCGTGCTCGTCGCGTGTTGCTTTTGTCCAATCATGTGGGCGCACGCGAGGCCGTGCACCAGTGGCGCAAGTTCCGATAATCAAGAACGGCAAACCAAATTTGAGTTGCCTTCCGCATGTGGCTGTGTTGCAAAGGGGCTCTACAGCCCCGCGATGGTGCTTAGCGATAGCCATCGGCGTGGCGATCGCTGCGTTGAGTGTAACTGCCGTATCGTTCGCCTTGCTGCCCGAGGCCAATGGGCCAAATGGTGGCATAAGGGCGGGTCGTTCAGTTGTGGGTCAAGAGGGAATGTCGCGATCGGGAAGGGTGCAGGCTGCACCGTGCAGCAAGTGCCTCATCATCTGAGGGGGGATTTCCTTGAGAAAGGCAAGGCCAACAATCCTGCGATGCATTCTGGCGATAGTGGGGAATTCCATCGCTGAAAGCGGTAGGGTGGCGGGCGTCTCCGTGGAGTTGTCAGAGGTATGTTCAAGGGTAGCCAACGGGAGGGGCGCGGCTATCGCTGCCGTGGCTGCGGTGCTCGGTGCTCATTTACGCTCAACGCGCATCTTCCGACGCGATGCCGCATCATTGCCGCAGGGCCGCAGGGCCGATTTCTGGACTGGAATTAATGGCCCTGCGGCCCGACGCTCTGCACTTTTTCGTTCCTATGCTATCTATCCAAAGCCCCTGACTCACTGGCCAGGTTGGGCTGCTCTGTTGCGCTTTTGATGCTTTCCATTCTCTGTCGATTTGCTGATCACTTTCTTCGCTATGTCCTTTGCCACTATCGCTGCGCTGAGGGCTGCACAGCACAGCCGCATGAGTTTGCTCCCACGATGCTACACGGGGAGTCCTTGTTGGGGTCTGCAACTTCGGCCATTGGGCGTTGGGACGCGAGCCATCGCCGCTGCGGCCATCGGCCCTGGCCGCCGCAATGATGCGGCATCGCGTCGGAAGATGCGCGTTGAGCGTAAATTCAGGCTGCCAGGCATCGTGGTATCCGGGATCTTTATTGATGGGCCATCTAAAACCGTTTCCCAATTAGACGTGCATGAGACGATATATTTCCTCGAAACATTTCGAGGAAACTACACCTGCGGGGTGGTGGTGGTGGGGGGGGGATTGCCGCAAGTGTTCTACATCAACGGCTACTCCCTGGAGTCGCGACAATACATTGCACAGATTATTTATCGCTTTCTATATGGGCAATATGTTTCAGAAATAAGACGAGGAATTGACATGACGAATCCTCGGATACAACTTCAGTACGCACATTAGGGAAATGGGATGAACTGCATTCGATTTGGTGCAACGTGATGGGCATGGGCCAATTCCGCCATTTCTCCATGTCCAAGAATGTGGGATAGTATTGACTACGTAGTCCATGTCTCTTAGGTGTGCTGCGGAACATTTGTATCCACATGTGGGAAGTTTTGGAGCCAGACAACGACTCTTCAGCCGATTGCAAAGCGTAGCCTCCCCACATGAATCGTTTGCCGTATGTCCTCTCAGCCCCAACCGCCAACCAACTATCTCTACTTAGACGCCCTCTCATAAAGAAGCATATAGGGCGCGTCATTCTCCACGTCCCGCCACAGCATCTGGTTAATGACTGAGTCATTGAAGTTCAGCCACATGCCGACCGGCTGCAGGACGTTCGCTGTGTAGTGGTCCCCTGGAGATGCACACAAAATCGATGAGCAAGATGCTGGCTACAAGCAAGGAGTATCACGACACAATAAGCAGACAGTGTTTTAGGTGGCACGAGCATCGCATTCACCACAACAACGAAGTGCACATTTATGCGGCAGCCTATTCTTCCTGCCTCTAGAAGCACATGAGCCCTTACGCACGATTCTTATGCCTATGAACATTCCAGAAACAAGTTGCGGCTGCCACTGCCTTCCATAGTAGATACTGGGGCACTTCTTAGTTGCTGCCTGTCGTCAACTGTATTCAAGACGGTGATCACACTGGGCCACATTGTGTTATCCCTTGCACTGGCTTACCTCCGTGACCTCTCCCATGATGGCTGCACGTCGCCACCAGCCTGTAATCGGCACGAATGGGCTTACTTTCTGCAAGCCATTGGCGCTGTATGGTGAGCATACTGCCGAAACCTATCCGTTTGTGGATCTTCTGGAGTCCATCCTCCGTGTAGGCGTACCTCTTCAAGCTAACCAGAAGCACTTGCGGGAGGTCACGTAGCCGGTTTGCTTTGGTTGCAGTCTGCGGTTTGCTTGTGTCAGTGGGCCTATAGTCTGAGGTCACACATCAGCAGCAGTCAACATCAGCATACTGCACACAACTACATGTACTCAAGACATCTCCTACATAGGCAATGGAGGCAGCTGGCAAGGGCACAAAGCAAGTAAAGCATTGTTGCTGAAGGAAATGGAAGGAAAGCAGGAATAACAGCAACAATGCCAGCAATGAGCTTTCAATGTCACAACAGGCGTTTGCCAACCAGTGACAAAACGTTGACCAGATTCGAAGTGGATGCAGCGCACCTGGTGCTGTCGCCTATGGCTTGTAGGTTGCATGCTGATGGCACAATGCATCCCTTCTGAGAACTTAGGGGTGCATGCAGACAAGTACGGCTGACAGAATACATGCAGCATGGTTCATGCCGCTGGCCAGAGCCATAACTGGCAACTTTGGTTCTGAGCTCAGTCTGGGCAACAAACAATATACTTCTGTTGAACAAAAAGTACCCAAACTGCAAATCGTATGCTCAAAAATGTTCAATGAGGTATTTAACAGTAGATCAGTTGCACCGCGCCGTCCTGTGGAACACCTCTATCAACACACAGGATTGGGCACCTTCTCATACATATGATGAACACCTGGAGCAGGCAAACACACCAGTCAAATGGTCGGGCTCAGTGTAGAGCTGCAGGGCATCCTCAATGGTGTTGACCTTTTTTGGTGCAATGTCCAGATCCAGTGCTGTGAACCGATGCACAACGATGGATGGCTTCATCTTTGACGCCTTCACTTCGCTCTGAACAGAGCCACCAAAGATGGCAGACAGCATTGATTCTGCCTGGCTGCCCGCCGTGCGTTTCGTTGCTGACTTGCCCTTGCGCCCGGCGACCTCCCAATCGTCGTCATCCTGCTGAATCTCCCTAGGAGAGGGGCTGCCTGGGCACACAGCACAAAGGGCACAATCGACGACGGCTTCCTGTTTAACCAAAGGAGCATTTGCTGACTGACAACAACAAACACTGACAGAAAAAGCAGCACACGGAACACGAGTCACGTGGACTTTGTACCACACTAACCTTGTGGACCTTGCACTGTCTCATGAGATGGCACGAGGCCTACCATTTCTGTTAGGACTAGGGCGGCACCTGGACATAGCATGTACTGCAATGCTTTGGGATCAGAAAAGGACACTGGCACAATGCTCACCCTGTCCAACAAGAACAGCCTCCTTCAGTTTCAGCAGCTCCACTTCCATCTGTTCAAGCAGGTACAGGAGGAACTCTTGAGCATCGTGTTCCTCAGCCAGGCCCCCGAGGGTGGACTGTGCATGCCGTTGCTGGAACCTGTTGACAACTGTGGAGAGCATGATTGGCATCACAGGTTTGGCGGTTCGACCAGACGCCCACCCATGGCATCCCTGCAGCAGACAAGCACCACAAGTACTTGGCACCTTGTTTGGTGTCAAGACAAGACATGGCTTTCATTCGCTTGCACAATGCAGAAGACGCGCTGTTGAGTACATAGCGCAAAAGAAGAAGTACATAGTGAAGCCTCTGAAAGAACGTGCTCTTGTATGTGGCTTTGGGCAGCACAGCACGTATATGTGCCCTCCAGCGGCACCAGAAAGCACGACAGCTGAAAGACAGCTCCTTTGAAGGGAATGACTGCTTACCTGCTGGGCTGCAGCCTGCGGTTTCCGTTGGCCTCCCCTCTCCGTCAACCCCTTTGCCAGTTCTCCCAGCCCCACGAGTGTGGGAAGCATGTGAGGGTTGAGGCAGTGAGACACAATGCTGAGCTGCTTCAGCAGCCAGCAGAAGCGGCGGCTGGCCAGCAGCAATTGGAGTGCGCTGCCAACAAAGCACGTGTTCCCCAAGTTTGTGATGCCACATTCATAGAACCTAATGCCGTTGCCTGGGAACGTATCCGAGCATAGCGCCTTCAAGGCATCCTTCACCTGAGGGGACTGAGGCTGTCTGGACAGCATTTCCTGATCGTCCCCACTTTCTTTCTCTGTCACTATGGGAACACAAGCAGCTTGAGGCTGCTGAGAGGTCCTTGGGCTCGCTGCTGAAACGAATCCAGCCATGTTGGCGTTGGCCAATGTTGACGCAGTCATGTCGTCGCCGACACCCCACAACTCTGCAGGCGCCGAGCCTGTTGGCCACGCACTCACGTACGACATGTCATGGCTCTCAACATCGTGCTGCTGGGCATCACACGGCGCTACCCTCCTGGGACCCACATCTGGTTGATGGTGCACATGCACGCCGGGTGCAGGGCTGCTGGCCCCGCGATCAGGCCGCAAGCCTTGAGAAAACGCTGTCGGTGGTAGGGCGGGCGCATCCACAAAGTCTGCACCAGGGACACCTGACGGAATTGGGCGGCTTTTCTTCGAACTCCTTCTCCTATTTCGCCTCTTACCAGACTTCTTGCCAGGTTCCTCCCCAGGCAAGGATGGATCGGAGCCCGTTGTCCCCGTTGGGGACAGGCTGCTGTGCCGATTGGCCTGTGGTCCTGAGAGTGGCGATAGCAACTCTGAGTTGCTGGCGTGCATGGCCGCTCCCTCTTGGTGGTCCTGCAAATGGGATCCATTTTGATCAAATTCAGGCAGTTCGTGTGTAGAAGTAGGGAAGTTATTGCCCTCATCCCTGTCAGCTTCAACACGAAGACCTGCAGTAAAGAAGCACATTGTCCTTCAGGTGTACGAACGAGGAGCAATCTCAACTGCAACCACCAATGGTGCTGAAACCATGTATGGTATTTTGTAGGGTGGTGTCACTTGGAAAATTCCAACAGCTGCATGACTCACACATGGGGCATACAATACCTCAATAGCCCTGTTCATGCAATGACAATACAAACCTGAACATGAGCGACTCACCACAAGAAATTCACTCCAAAGGCTGATTGTTGGCAGGTTGTTCTCACCGTTCAGCTCGGGCGCCGAGCTGCAGTGGCAGTCCCTATCGGAGGGTTCACTGATGACCTTGGGCCCCAATGGCTGGCCCGGCACCTGCTTGACACGCCGGCTTCCGCTGACGGGCGCGCTGCGATGCTGGAGGGGCTCCTTCCTGCGGTCACCACCAGCATTGGAAGCCTCTGACGCCCTCAGCTGTACATGGCTCGTAGGACTCGGCACACTCGGCACCCGCTGGGTTGTGTTGGACCTGTGCAACTCTCTTCCAGCCTGCATGGGGCGCAGTGATGCTCCAGCTTGACCCTGTGGGCCCGGGCCCGGGGCAGCCTTCCTTGCAGGGGTTGCCTTGGCGAGCAGGGGCGATGTGGCACCAAATTGTCGCCCGCCGTGGCTCCGTTCTCCCACAGTAACCTTGCCGTTCTCTTGCTGTGCGGTTTGCCCGGGTCTCGCGGCAGATTGGCGCCTCCCACTGTCTGTGGCCCCCATGCCGCGCGGCCCGCGTGGAGTCCCGTGGTCCTTGCACGTCCCATCCTGCACCGGCACCGTCTGGGGCGCCTGGTGCACCATCGCCACAGGTCGGGTGTTCGCCTGGCGCGCGCCGTCGGCCTGCCCCGTGGATCTTATCCCCGTCCTCTGGCCAAGGCTCCCAGAGCCGGAGCGGGAG